CCCCGCAGCCCCCCCTCACCTCCGCTCCCTTCAATCCCCCACAGCTCCCCTCAGTTTCCCCTCACCTCAGCTCCCCACAGCCCTTCCTCACCTCCTCTCCCCTTGATCCCCTACAGCTCCGCTCAGTTTCCCCTCACTTTAGCTCCCCACAGCTCTCCCTCCCCTCCCCTCTCCTCTCCTCAGTCCCCTGTGGCTCCCTCCAGCTCTCCCTTACCCCCAATCCCAATCCCAATCCCAATCCCAACTTCTTACAATGAAAGCTCTGGTTCTGCTTTTTGAAGCACCTGCTGAACCGAGCCGCTTGGGGGCTGAGGTGGTCGTGATATACAAAAATACACGGGTTTGGCATCTTTAGAGCATTTCAAAGCTAACGTTGTGGTCTTAGGTCTTACTGCTTACTTACTCACTACTTACTTACTATTTACTTACTTATTTCTTACAATGAAAAGCTCTGGTTCTGCTTTTTGAAGCACCTGACGATGTGAAACCGGCGTTTCTCTATTCCATTTCTCACCTCTTCTCTTTTCTTCTCTATTTTTCCCCCCTCTTTAAAGGGGCTGTGTGTTACAAGCCCTCTGTATCGGGAGATGCCTTAACGCTGCTGTTGACCATGCTTTCTTCTGCCATTTGTATCTTCTAAAGAAATTTCAACCGTTGGGGGTGGGGTGGCGATGATGGTGATTTCCCACTCCTTGAACTCCTCTCACTAACGTTAAAGCCACTTAACTTTTTAAAATAACGCGCTCAGAGCTTTACAGAGTTTGGGGAGAAGGGTTGAGAAGGGCCCGAAGATATCACTTCAGTTAGGAAAATACCTGCTGTTTCTCCTAGAGTCACCCAAGTTTGTGCAAGCGAGATAAAGAAACTTGCTGGAGCAGGGCTCTTGAGAATTAAATATGCTGTCTAACAATATTGCAGAAGCTTTTTGAAACCTGGATCTTCACTTCCTTTTTCTTAACTTTGTAGAAGTTTAAAGAATAGTTTATAGCATAATTCTGGACCCTCCTGAACAAAGTATGCCTGCCCGACATAATATGTTTGGGGGGAGGAGAAAAGCTTCCAAATCATACCTTGCATTCATGATAGTCATGAATTCCTTGGTGAGAAATACTTGCCTCATAGCTAAGGTTGCTAATGATTTTTAAAGTTTTTTTTAGAGAGAAAGAAGTATGATATGTAGCGAACAGGTTTAAATACTGCTATGGCAGATGTATAAGAGCTTAGAAAGAAAACAGAAGTAGAAGTTACAGCTGGCAATTCCATGTCCAGAGTAGGCAGTGAGTAAATAGGAAAGTTGAAAAGCTCAGAACTCTTCCAGCAACACAAGAGGGTGGAAACTGTGGAAGAAGAAAGGTGGGATGAAAAACTATAATTTCAGTAGAAAACCAACTTCTGGCCTGACCAGTGATGTGTAAGCAGGATTTAGAGCTTCACAGGACTCTTAAATATGGAGCCAGAATTGTTCAGGTGCCTGTGCTTGAATGTGAGGAAAAATACTGATTGTCTTGGAATGTAGAGTTTTAGTAATACACACAGAACGATGGAATTACTGCTTAAACGAGAGAAAACAATTCTTCCTTTCGTTTAGTCTGGAATGAAAAGATCTTCCTGCTCATTTGTTTTAATATATGAAAAACTATGAAAACATATGAGAGACTTCTGAAGTCAGTAGGGAAATACAGCCTTGACTTGAGTGGTTGTTTAGACCGGTTATTTTGGAGGTAACCTCTAGAAGGAGATGTATGTAATGTATAGCTAGTTAAACTGGTTCCAGTTTATTTCGCGTTACATGCCTTATCTTTTTTAATTTTCCAGGTGCATCTGGTTACCCGCTGGAAATACTTTGAAGTATCAACAATGAACTCGATGTTAACATTACTTTTTTCTGGATTAGTTGCCTGTTGTGGTCACTCCACCGGCAATTCGGTGTCCAGGTTACTCCTCGTGTCCTTTGATGGCTTCAGGGCTGATTACTTGGAAACCTACAAACTTCCTCATCTTCAGGAGTTCATTGCGGATGGTGTGCTCGTCAAACAAGTTACGAATGCTTTTATCACCAAGACATTCCCAAACCATTATACCATAGTGACAGGTTTATACGAAGAAAGCCACGGCATCGTGGCTAATGACATGTATGATGCAGATGCCAAGAAAAAGTTTTCCCAGTTCAACGACTCGGATCCCTTCTGGTGGAATGAGGCAGTTCCAATTTGGGTAACGAATCAACAGCAGGGAGAGGCAGTAAGTGCTGCTGCAATGTGGCCTGGTACCGATGTAAAAATTAATGGTACCACCCCTCGGTTCTTTATGAAGTATAACTTTTCAATGAAGTTTGAGGAAAGAGTGGAGAACATTGTTGCGTGGCTGAACAGCTCTGATCCAGTAGTCAGTTTTGCTACTTTATATTGGGAAGAACCAGATGCAAGTGGGCACAAGTATGGACCAGAGGATACTGAGAACATGCGCAAAGTATTAGAAGAAGTGGATAATCATATTGGTTTCCTTACTAAGAAATTGAAGGCGGTCGGTTTGTGGGACACCATTAATATTATAATAACAAGCGATCATGGAATGGCCTCCTGTTCTGCAAAGAAGCTGATTATCCTGGATGAATGCATCGGTCGCAATAATTATACTCTGATAGACAGGACTCCGGTTGCTGCAGTGCTGCCAAGAGAGAGTATGTTTGGGGGTTTTTTAAGTCATATACTGAGAAATAAATCTTGTTTATGTTACTACTAAAAAGTACACATGGTGGTAGACTGTTGACACCTTTTGCAAAGCCAGTGTCGTTCATATTGAAGAACTTTGACATAGCTTAATGAATAAGCTAAAGAACGTTTGGGTATTTAGAAATTACTTTGTTTTGGTAATCAATGGGCCAAGGAGAGTTTCTTGTCAAATTGCTGTGGGTGGTAGAGATGGTCCTGGTACAGCTTATTGAGAAAGTATAGAGGCACGTAGTACGCCTGTTCTCTTTTTGCTCATTTAGTCTCTGTGGTGGTAATTTACAGTGAGCATAAAATAAACCCTTGTGTTTATTCAGAGTAAAAAAATGTCACTGTGTAAACTTGTGAGTAAAAATCTAAACCCAGCTTTGATCGCTTTACCCCTTCTGTTTCTGTCAAAGAAACTTCACTTTTCACAACATAAATTCCATTTTTGTATCTTGGAGTTGTTACTAACAGGCTGCTGGTCTCAGTTGCCACAACTGTGGCTGGGCTGAAGCAATTCTAATGAACAAAGTGATTTATACAGTAACAAAATGTAATACTTACTGCTTTGTATATAATACCAACTATTTCGATGTGCGATTGCTTTCTCTTGATTCCTCTGCTTGAATTTTGCCTTCCTCCCCCACAGGCCCAGAGGGTGAGCTGAATTGTAGGTTCAAAACCACAGCTGTGAGGTGCCCGATTTAAAATGAGAGCAAATTGTGAAAGCCACCTCGATACATGTAGCATTTCATTAAGTACATTGAAAAATCCTTTTCTATGTGCCTTTTAAAAAATAATTGTTTTGAAAAAATTGGTTTTTAGGTTTAATGACAGAGAATTGCAGTAAACAGGACATCATTTTCAGCTGTTTAACATACACTTTTTTTTCTTGGCAGACACGAGAGAAGTGTACAACTTGCTGAAAAAATGCAACAGTCACATGAAAGTGTATCTTAAAGAAGAAATTCCAGACAGATTTCATTACCGTCATAATAAGAGAATTCAACCCATAATTCTGGTTGCAGACGAAGGCTGGACAATCGTACAGAATGAGTCACTTTCAAAATGTAAGTGCATTTTCCTCATTGGTGTTTTTGGTGGCTTATGTTTTTAAACTGTCTTGTTTTCAGTCCAGCCATCTGTAGGATGGTCTTAGTTTAGCAAGTGGAGTCCTGGCACTGTGCATCTTTAGAAACATCTCAATGTTTTCTAGAACCTTCTCAGCCTGAGCCTGGAGTGTTCAAACAGATGAGGAAGAGATGGGGGATGTTCCATTGGCTGAAAAGCTTTGTGATGTTCCATTTAATAGCCTGAGGTTATAACAGTTATCTCGGGCAAGTTAGCAGTCTGTCTCAAGCCTCCACTGCAGTGTGGTTTAACTGCTTTTTGTATATAAAGAAAATATATATGGGGAGCATAAACTGAAGAATGCAAGACACAGCACTTAATGTTGCAGTGCATATACTAGGAAACAAAAATAGATAGGAGGAAATACTAAAAAATAATAGGGATACAACAATAATGGGCAAAGAAGCCAGAGTTCTTCCTGTTAGGGGCATCAAGTAGCATGTTTTAAAGACAAAAAACAAAAATGGGTGTTACCTCACACAGTGCATTGCTAAGCTCTGCACTTTCTTCCTTCTGGATGATGTGAATGTCAAATTACATACATATATGTATATGTGTGTGTATGTATATTTCCAGGTGTTTCACATGCAGAGTTTTTTTTGGCAGAAAAAAGAGGCGTGTGTGACTTACTGAAAAAAATGCGAGTCATGAGAAAACATATCTCAAAGAAGAAATTCCAGATAGATGTTAATTATTATCATAATAAGAGCATTCAATCCATAATTCTGGTTGCAGATGAAGGCTACGTGTATATCTGTGTGTTCAGGAAGTGATTGGACAAATTAATGGAAGAAAAATCCATTAATAGAAATTAAATACTGAAGTACCAACTCCCAGGAGGTTTCTGAGCCACCAGCAGCTCCAGGGGGGTTGGGACTTGGGGGCTGACCCTGCTGGGTACTGCTGGCAGAGACAGGATGCTGGGTGGGTGGTGTACACTCTTAGTTTCACCCAGTTTGGTTGTTCTTACTGTCTGCCCTTCGCACATTTAAGTTCAAATTTTCTCATTATTTGAGCAAAAGTACTACTTTCAATGTAAGACATGTTTACATTTTAATTTCCCCATGGGTTTGCTACGATCATCTTCAGATTTGCAACATTTAGTACACCTGTTCTCTAATCGAGGTGTCTCTCTTGTTTATGGTTAGATTGAATTTCATGTATCTAAAAATAGTAAGTATATATTTATAAGTAACAGCACTGTGTCAGTTGAAGGGAATCACTTTAGAAACAATTTTGTGAGCCAGGGCTTCCCAGAAGCAGGCAGGGGAAGGTTTAGCCTAAAAGATATTTAAGTGTTTATTGTACTCGTCTTCATGGACGAGCTGACAGCAAGTGTGCCAGTAGGGTCATGGAATGGTTTGGGTGGGAAGGGACCTCTAAAGTCATCTAGTCCAGCCTCCCTGCCATGAGCAGGGACATCTTCAACCAGATCAGGGAGGGGCATCTCCCACCTCGCTGGGCAACCTGGGCCAGTGTCTTACCACCCTCTGTGTAAAAAAACTTCTTCCTTATATCTAGTCTAAATCTTCCCTCTTACAGTTCAAAGCCATTACTCCTTGTCCTATCACAACAGGCCCCAATAAGAGTCTGTCCCCATCGTCCCTGAAAGCCCCCTTTAAATATTGAAAGGTCACTATGAGGTCTCCCCAGAGCACATTATTAGGAAATTTGATTTTGGTGGCATTTTAGCTGTTTATATTACACAGAAATTAGATGGAGTATTTCTTAAAAACCTACCAAACATCCAAGTACTGGTGACCTTGTAGCTACAAATGTTTTGTTACATGTCTGTCACAGGCACTGTGATCCTCTGACTGTATTTTGGGTTTGACTATTTGAGTATCCCTTCACCTGAAGTACCCAATCTGATAGGCATGATTTGAGGGTGCTTAATGTGCTTGAATTAAACACCATCAAGGGGAAAGCACTTGGCTTATAAGTAATTAAAGTGGCTGCTTTGCAAGGGGGAAATGTCTTTCCAAAATCTGAGAAGAACAAATTTGCATTCCAGCTACTGACTCGTTGGGTGACAATGTCCTTTTCAACTTGGCATAAGGAGTGGGAAGGGAAAAACTGGGAATGTTGAAGACTGAAAGGAAAAGGGATAAAGGAGGGGGGCTGGGAACCATGTATGGGAAAAGCCTTCTGGGGATTGGGGAAAAGGGAAGGAACTCTGGGTTCATAGAATCACAGAATGATACGGGGTTGGAAGGGTATCTCTGGAGATCATCCAGTCCAACCCCCCTGCCCAGAGCAGGTCCACCCAGAGCAGGTTGCACAGGAACGTGTCCAGGTGGGTTTGGAATGTCTCCTCCAGAGAAGGAGACTCCACCACCTCTCTGGGCAGCCTCTTCCAGGGCTCTGCCACCCTCAAAGTAAAGAAGTTCTTCCTCATGTTTAGATGGAACTTCCTATGTTTGTTTGTGCCCGTTTCCTCGTCTTGTGGCACCAGTGGAAAATGACCGGCCCCTTCCTCTTGACACCTACCCTTTAAGGATTTGTAGGGGTTGATCCCCCCCTCAGTCTTCTCTTCTCCAGAATAAAAATACCCAAGTCCCTCAGCCTCTCCTCATAGGAGAGAGATGCTCCAGGCCCCTCATCATCTTTGTGGTCCTCTGCTGTACCCTCTCCAGCAGTTTCCTGTCCTTCTGGAACTGGGGAGCCCAGAACTGGACCCAGTGCTCCAGATAGGGCCTCACCAGGGCAGAGCAGAGGGGCAGGATGACCTCCCTCAACCTTCTGGTCACGTTCTTCTTGATGCACCCCAGCATGTCATTGGCCTTCTTGGCCACAAGGTTTTTTCCGTGTTCAACCCAACAGCTGCTTTTATGTTCTGCATTAGTTTTGGGTTAAAGTATATTCCTTTTGGGATTGTGGGGGAGATAAGGAGCGGAATGACTTGATACGCAAACAGTGATGTTTAACTTTTAACTCTGCCTTTCTCCAGTGGGTGACCACGGCTACGACAACGCTCTCCCAAGCATGCATCCCTTCCTGGCTGCTCGGGGGCCCGCTTTCCAGCGGGGATACAAGCAGAGCACGATGAACAACGTTGACATTTACCCCATGATGTGCCACATCCTGGGGCTGACCCCGCGGCCGCACAACGGCACTTTCAGCAACACCAAGTGCTTGCTCGCTGACCAGTGGTGCATCAACCTTCCCGAGGCTATCGGGATAGTCATTGGGGCTCTGATGATACTGACTACTTTCACCTGTGTTATAATAATCTCAAAGAATAGAATAACTCCCCCGAGGCCATTTTCCCGACTTCAGTTACAGTATGACGATGATGATCCTTTAATTGGATAGCGTGTCAGGAGCGTCGCTTGCTACATAGTGATTTCAGGAAGAGTTTGAACTTGCACTGGATGGCTTTCTTCAATGCACTTTAAAGGTATCTGTATAAAATACTGTACAGCCAGATCTTGCTAACTTGTTTGTGCTACCTGACTAGTTAGTAGGCCTGTAAAAAATAGTTTTCAGAACAAAATGGTCAACAGGTGGCTTTCTGCTGGAAGAGACGCTTAACAAAATAAGGATACTTAATTTTTCATTCAAGCCTTTGAACACTTTCAAACTGAAAATCCAAAGTATGAACTAGCCAAGCTAGACTAAGTGAATTTTAACATTTGTAAATGAGAATTGTTGTTGTGTTTTTTTTTATTAAACTTAAATTAATGTTGGCTTCTTTTAGTGTTCTTGTACCTGTGTTGAGAAGATCTTTTTTTATGAGAGTTCAGAGTTCTGTGTTTAGACGGTATATTCTGATTTTTGTTCTTAAATTTGGGGATCAAGGGTGTAGAGAAGATCCAATACTTGGCTTTCCACCCTAAGCCAGCAATATGACTAGCGACTGGTGAGAAGGAAACCAGAAGTCAGTGAGGAAAATATTAGTGTGTATCACTTCTGTTCTGAGCAATAAAGTATGCGGTTCAGCAGTTACAACACTGGGCAAATTGACATTTCTAGAGGTGGTGCCTATAGATGACTTGGTCCCACAGCTCCTGCACTTGGAGAGCTGGGATGGTATTAAGTTGTTTATCTCAAGGATGTCAATTCAATCTGAGAATCCTTGGATTGCTCAGTCTAATGGGCTGTAGTAAAATTACTGCTGCTACGCCCTGTGAAAAATTTTTCAAGTGTAAACTCTGCTTGAAGGTGTTTCTGTAAGAAAGGCGGTTCTGCCCTGTGTACCTGCTGATGGTTATCTTCTGAAGGTTGTCAGGTGCTAGAAAGCAACAACTGAAAGTTTGACGTGCAATCATCAAGAAAGGATTCCAAACTCTTATTTTAAACCCTGGAGATTTAAAGTGAAAAAATGAATGTATTTTTTTGGGATAAGACGTGTTATCTGTAGTGTCTAAGTTGTATGGATGTCAAGTTCTGGTGAAGACCAGAGCTAATGCTTCTCTTTGTTGAGACTTTTGAGTCCTTGTTCATGGTCAAGTCTAGGAACTTGCCATAAAAAAAAAAAAAAACAAAACAAAAACTTGATTTAGAAAGCCTTAGTGGTACCTTATCTTTTTGTGAGGAAAGAATGTGAGGTGAAATTGTTAATGCTAACCCAAAAGTCCTTTTCCTGCAAGTTGGACAGTTTTAAGAATCGATAATTATTTGAAGTGAGAGAGCTGAGGTACATGGTAACGTGCAACATAGTTTCTTGCTCACAGGCTCAAATTCAATGCAATTTGGTATTAACCACAGAGCACTATTTATTGGTCCAGCTGGGAGGAAGTATGGACTTTGGAGGGAAGGGCTACTTTTAACAGCCTACTGAAAAAGAAAATACATTTGAATTTTTAAAATGACATGTGGAAGTTTTACTAAATTGTATCTTTCTTTCTGAGGATTCTCTTATTAAAAACACAATATAAAAACTAACCTGTTCTGCTTTTTTTCCCCCCTCTTCTTAAACTACTGGTTTTGACTTACTAATGCTTTACTCTGGATTAATCTGAGCTTGACAGAGTAACTGGACTGAATACAGAATATATTCTCTCACCCTGCTGGAAGATTTAAAGTAATTAAATGCAGTAAGAGGTCAGGTTAATGAGTAATTGTGAAGTGAGTGTTTTGCAGGGTAGAACCCAGGCTTAGAGATGCTGTCAAAGGGAGGATGTTTGAATTCCTATCATGGAGGGAGTTGTTAAATTCTTGTAATCTGATAAAGGCTGCCATCCTCAGAGGGTGTGTGAGGTGGGAGGTGCTTTACACCATCCACATACAGAAAGGTTTGACTCAACTGAGGTATCTTTATTGTTCTGGGAGACTTGGTAAGACCAAAGTGTACTGTCCTCTGCCTGTGAGGGGATTTCTTCTAGATGCTAAAAGTGATCAGCACAGTCTATGCTCTGCTGTTCTTCCCTTCCTCCTGCCCCCACATCACAGAGTGTGATGGATGTGGTTTCAGTTCCTCGGTACATCACCATCACAGCCCAGGTGTCAAGGTTACCACCAAGATGTTAATGACCAGAAATGTAAATGGTGACTGATGTGCAATGGCAGCACTCGAATCTGATGTACAAATATTGTTACAGATGGGGAAATGTAGGTGTAAATGCATTTCTCCTTGCAGCTGTGGGTGGCCCCTTCTGGTAAGAACTGCTGCAGGGAACTGAGCTCCTAGGAAAGCAGAAATCCTTAGTGCCCTCTACTCCTCCTCCCTTGAGCGTTCAGACTAAACAGGACTGTTGTGGGAAGGGTTTAAAGAGAAAGTTTAAGTACTAATCAAACTATAGGACAACCTATAGTTTAGTTACATCGCTAATTATTTTCAATTGATATGGCTGAGTATTCTTCCTGGCACAATTCTTTGCTGCAGGCAGGGAGGGTTTCAAAGTAGCTCTTGTACATCCAGGACTTCACACACATCACCTGCAAATCAGGAGAATCTAAAAAATCACCTCTTTCTCCTTTGAGGCAAAGTTTTGATATATTTAAAGATGATTATTTTTAAAAGCCTCAAACATGATGAAATATTTCTCCTACCTAATTACAGTTTGTATGAATTATTACTTGCGAAAGTCAATGGCTGATTTCCTTTTGAATAGGTAATTAATTCAGAACAGGAACAGGAGAAGCTGTGGCTTCCCCCTTCCTCAGGGCTGGGATAAAAGGAGGGATCATACAATAGTTTGTGACAACATTTCATGGCTAAATAGACACAACTCTGCCATGTTCATACAGGGCGTGTGATTAACACTTCAGCTATCACTGAAGTTTAGAAAGGAACAGGGGAAGTTCCTAAAGCTGCTTCCCAGCAGCAAAGAGCAATGGTTCATTGACTGCCTCTGTAAGGGAACTCTGGGCACTGGGCAGACAAGCCTTCAAACACCCACCCCCTTTTTATTTATTAGCACCAAGGAAACAGTTCCAGAATCCAGCTGATTTCAACTAACTATAGGTCCAACACACTTGTTTCAAGGGGAAGTTTAACTTGCTATAAATCAAAAAGAATGTACTGCCTATGAAAATAAACAAACATCATGTACCTCCAAAGATCACACCACAGGGACAGAGTTTTTGCTTTAATATGCACGGTACCACCTTTTATTGCAAAAAAACAGTTATAGACATTTGTTAATATGACTCAGATTTCATTATGGAAAGGCCACCCGTTTGCAGTTCTGCAGATACCACTCTTGAATTTAGCATTTTTGTATGTTTGCAACAGATTTTGTAGTCTAACATCTCACAAATGCTTATGTTACCTTTACTATGGTACAAACACACCATTTCTTGAAAGGTAGGTCCAGCAGCACGGGTACGGTCAAGACAGCGTCCACAGCCATCACCTCAGCTGGGGAGAAGATCTGGTAATAACTGTGATATCTGCATTTTAGAAACCAGCAGGACTCAACAATTGTACATTTGTCATTCTTCCCACACACAGCTCAAGATTGTGTTGTCCCACACTTCTCAAAAGTCACGCTGCTTTATCCTTCATCTTGTAATAGGCATTTTTGCACTTTTGGTTGCTTTTTTTGAGACCACATTTATTGTAAACAGCATTACTTCAGCTCTTTGCCAAGGAAGTCTGGAAGATTCAGTTTTTTGTCCCATTGTTGGTAACAGAGAGCTGTCATTTCCATCTACAGCAGCCAGGTGGGAAATTAGGTCTTTTGTAAGAACTTTTACCTAAAATTCCTAAGTTCTATCCCACTTCCAGTTATTTTACTAATGGCATACTTGTTGTACTCCGCATAGCGTATCTGGGATGCACAGAAGTTAAGGCCATTTTTGCCAGAAGTGTTTTTAAACGAAGCAGGCACTCACTGCCTGACAGCACTACACCAAAGATAGATTTCACCTTCAGCATTTCCAAACAGGAAGAAACAACGAAAACATTTGACATCTGTCTTGGTTACAGGTAAAACAGAACCAACTTTCTGTTCAGTGGTTTTATATTTTAGCCAGGCCTCTTCTAACTCTCTGAAATTAACAGCATGTTGTTGAGAAAACTGCTCCTTCTCAGAGTGATAAGACCCATGTTTGTGCTTCGTGCCAAGGAAGGGTGTGTGGAGAGGCTCTTGCTTGTACTTATTGCTGTAACAACCAAGGTCAGCCCATTTCCTTACTCTCCCTGTTGAAGGGTCAGAAACAAAAAAGGCTAGAGGGGCTCCACCTGTGGGGAGGAGTGGACAAAAGAGGTGACCCAAACCTGACCAACGGGTCATTCCATCCCATCTGCCCCGTGCTCAGTATAAAAGCTGAGCGATCAAAGGATCAACTCTCTTCCTTCAATGGCCAACACGAGAAGAGGACTCCGTTCATCTGCCTTTGATCCTGATCCATGTGCTCCTGACTCCAGAGCTGGAACCCAGTTTCCATCTGCTGCTGAGTCCAGTCTTATATTCCCCAGTATTATATCTATTTCAGTATTTTCTTATTTTTCAATTTAATATTAATACTTCATTAAAGTAGTTTAGTTCATTCTAAACTTGTAAATCTCCTTATCTCTTCCTCTCCTCTCTTTTGGGGGTGGGGAGGAAGGGCCATCTGTCATTCTGCTTTTGGTAAATTCGGCCAAAAACCACAAAACCTCTCAAAGTAGGCTTCACAGGTCGATAATGAAAGACAAATCATGCAAGCTTCTGTTTCCAAGCTTAAATTTCAAGCAGTACACAACGTACTCAAATCCACTTTCCAATAAACTTGTTCCTACATCATTAAAAGTAGCACATACACAGAAACCAAATCCCACATCCTCCCCAGCCAAAAAAGGCAGTCTGAAAAAAAAAAAAAAGAAAATCTCACATCACATCAGAGAAAAAGTTGATATTTTTCTCCAGTGGCATCATATGTGCTTTCAATGTCATTAAGCAGACACTCAACAACTTGAAATTAACACTGGGAAATATCCTGAATAGGAAACCACCCAAGAGGTACCTGCAAATACACCTAAACAACGTGGCTACACCTAAACTGAAATACCCAAATCCTGATTCCCTTCAGTTTTCTACAGTTTAGTTTTACCCTCCTTAAGGAAGGGCCTTTCAGTGCAATACAGAATGATGACATCGAGGAGAATTCTTATGTTCCTGTTCCCAAACCCTTGACATTAAGAACGATGACATTAAGAAGAATTCTTATGTTCCTGTTCCCAAACCCTTCCTTAGGGGAAATTACTGCTCCCCCCCTGTTGTGTGCTTGGGCAGATGAGCCTAAGTGCCAGGAGGACTGAACAACACTGACCAACTTTGGCTCCTCCTTAAAATCAAGGGTGACTTTGGCTGATGACAGAACTCCACCTGTCACAGTTTAAAAAGTGGGAGTTTAATGAACACTTGTGAGATGACAATCCAGTTATTTTTCCATCTGCCATAAGCATTGCTATGAAATTACTGCAGTGAGAAGGATTTCCATTAAAGCAGCCGGTTCCAAAGCGAGAAAGTACGTAACTGAAGTAGCTACAGGTGAGGATTATTGCATTTCCACTTCTCACTGTCACTCCCTTTACCAAGACTGGAGATCTCTCTGTAAGCACACACTAAATTTGTGCTACAATTTGTTTTTAAGTTGCAAATAAGCAAGAAAAGGTGCACTCAGTGCATCAATTTTCTGTCTGCCATCCACTTCATGGAAGGTAGATGAGAAAGTGATTAATAACAATTTAGAGGTTTAGGTTTTCTACTTGGAACTTCCCCAGCCCCTCTAGAAACTGTGGTGAACATCATTGCTGCTTTCATCTTCCAGTTTGAAAAGCCCCTGCACCACCAGCAACACACCTCATGGTCAGCTCCACTACAAATCAGCTCCGGGGTGTCAGGGACACCTGACCCAGATGATTTCCTTCAGTGTTCTCTTAAGAAAATGGCAAGGTAGAAAAACAAGGCAGCACAGGGGGCAGTAACAGCAGGATGGCAGAGATGAGTCAGATTAAGTTAGACAAGATTTCACACATATCCCCCAAATTAAGGGGCTGTCCTCCACCAGAGCTGCTGGTTTCCTGCCTTCCCAAACCTACTACTCCCTTTACCAAGGCTGGAGATCTCTCTGTAAGCACACACTAAATTTGTGCCACAATTTGTTTTTAAGTTGCAAATAAGCAAGAAAAGGTGCACTCAGTGCATCAATTTTCTGTCTGCCATCCACTTCATGGAAGGTAGATGAGAAAGTGATTAATAACAATTTAGAGGTTTAGGTTTTCTACTTGGAACTTCCCCAGCCCCTCTAGAAACTGTGGTGAACATCATTGCTGCTTTCATCTTCCAGTTTGAAAAGCCCCTGCACCACCAGCAACACACCTAATGGTCAGCTCCACTAAGAATCAGCTCTGGGGTGTCAGGGACACCTGACCCAGATGATTTCCTTCAGCGTTGTCTTAAGAAAGTGGCAAGGTAGAAAAACAAGGCAGCACAAGGGGCAGTAACAGCAGGATGGCAGAGATGAGTCAGATTAAGTTAGACAAGATTTCACACATATCCCCCAAATTAAGGGGCTGTCCTCCACCAGAGCTGCTGGTTTCCTGCCTTCCCAAACCTACTGTTGCAGCTAGAATTTCAACATAGACCTTAAATTGGAGTATTTCATTGCCTTCATGAAATACTCCAATTAAGTGTTCACCACACCCAGCTGTGGTCTCTGGAGACTTTCCACATCTCTTTGCAAGACACCTGGATGCCAAAATTAACAGCATGTTGTTGAGAAAACTGCTCCTTCTCAGAGTGATAAGACCCATGTTTGTGCTTCGTGCCAAGGAAGGGTGTGTGGAGAGGCTCTTGCTTGTACTTATTGCTGTAACAACCAAGGTCAGCCCATTTCCTTACTCTCCCTGTTGAAGGGTCAGAAACAAAAAAGGCTAGAGGGGCTCCACCTGTGGGGAGGAGTGGACAAAAGAGGTGACCCAAACCTGACCAACGGGTCATTCCATCCCATCTGCCCCGTGCTCAGTATAAAAGCTGAGCGATCAAAGGATCAACTCTCTTCCTTCAATGGCCAACACGAGAAGAGGACTCCGTTCATCTGCCTTTGATCCTGATCCATGTGCTCCTGACTCCAGAGCTGGAACCCAGTTTCCATCTGCTGCTGAGTCCAGTCTTATATTCCCCAGTATTATATCTATTTCAGTATTTTCTTATTTTTCAATTTAATATTAATACTTCATTAAAGTAGTTTAGTTCATTCTAAACTTGTAAATCTCCTTATCTCTTCCTCTCCTCTCTTTTGGGGGTGGGGAGGAAGGGCCATCTGTCATTCTGCTTTTGGTAAATTCGGCCAAAAACCACAAAACCTCTCAAAGTAGGCTTCACAGGTCGATAATGAAAGACAAATCATGCAAGCTTCTGTTTCCAAGCTTAAATTTCAAGCAGTACACAACGTACTCAAATCCACTTTCCAATAAACTTGTTCCTACATCATTAAAAGTAGCACATACACAGAAACCAAATCCCACATCCTCCCCAGCCAAAAAAGGCAGTCTGAAAAAAAAAAAAAAGAAAATCTCACATCACATCAGAGAAAAAGTTGATATTTTTCTCCAGTGGCATCATATGTGCTTTCAATGTCATTAAGCAGACACCCAACAACTTGAAATTAACACTGGGAAATATCCTGAATAGGAAACCACCCAAGAGGTACCTGCAAATACACCTAAACAACGTGGCTACAACTAAACTGAAATATCCAAATGCTGAAAGATTCCCTTCAGTTTTCTACAGTTTAGTTTTACCCTCCTTAAGGAAGGGCCTTTCAGTGCAATGACATTAAGAACGATGACATTAAGAAGAATTCTTATGTTCCTGTTCCCAAACCCTTCCTTAGGGGAAATTACTGCTCCCCCCCTGTTGTGTGCTTGGGCAGATGAGCCTAAGTGCCAGGAGGACTGAACAACACTGACCAACTTTGGCTCCTCCTTAAAATCAAGGGTGACTTTGGCTGATGACAGAACTCCACCTGTCACAGTTTAAAAAGTGGGAGTTTAATGAACACTTGTGAGATGACAATCCAGTTATTTTTACATCTGCCATAAGCATTGCTATGAAATTACTGCAGTGAGAAGGATTTCCATTAAAGCAGCCGGTTCCAAAGCGAGAAAGTATGTAATTGAAGTAGCTACAGGTGCGGATTATTGCATTTCCACTTCTCACTCTGACTCCCTTTACCAAGGCTGGAGATCTCTCTGTAAGCACACACTAAATTTGTGCCACAATTTGTTTTTAAGTTGCAAATAAGCAAGAAAAGGTGCACTCAGTGCATCAATTTTCTGTCTGCCATCCACTTCATGGAAGGTAGATGAGAAAGTGATTAATAACAATTTAGAGGTTTAGGTTTTCTACTTGGAACTTCCCCAGTCCCTCTAGAAACAGTGGTGAACATCATTACTGCTTTCATCTTTCAGTTTGAAAAGCCCCTGCACCACCAGCAACACACCTCATGGTCAGCTCCACTACAAATCAGCTCCGGGGTGTCAGGGACACCTGACCCAGATGATTTCCTTCAGTGTTCTCTTAAGAAAATGGCAAGGTAGAAAAACAAGGCAGCACAGGGGGCAGTAACAGCAGGATGGCAGAGATGAGACACACCTCATGGTCAGCTCCACTACAAATCAGCTCCGGGGTGTCAGGGACACCTGACCCAGATGATTTCCTTCAGTGTTCTCTTAAGAAAATGGCAAGGTAGAAAAACAAGGCAGCACAGGGGGCAGTAACAGCAGGATGGCAGAGATGAGTCAGATTAAGTTAGACAAGATTTCACACATATCCCCCAAATTAAGGGGCTGTCCTCCACCAGAGCTGCTGGTTTCCTGCCTTCCCAAACCTACTGTTGCAGCTAGAATTTCAACATAGACCTTAAATTGGAGTATTTCATTGCCTTCATGAAATACTCCAATTAAGTGTTCACCACACCCAGCTGTGGTCTCTGGAGACTTTCCACATCTCTTTGCAAGACACCTGGATGCCAAGGAGGTGTCCCTGCCACGAGGGAGGAATCTGACAGATCATTTCAGAGGCAGGGAGCAGCAGCTCGTTGTCTTAAGAAAGTGGCAAGGTAGAAAAACAAGGCAGCACAAGGGGCAGTAACAGCAGGATGGCAGAGATGAGTCAGATTAAGTTAGACAAGATTTCACACATATCCCCCAAATTAAGGGGCTGTCCTCCACCAGAGCTGCTGGTTTCCTGCCTTCCCAAACCTACTGTTGCAGCTAGAATTTCAACATAGACCTTAAATTGGAGTATTTCATTGCCTTCATGAAATACTCCAATTAAGTGTTCACCACACCCAGCTGTGGTCTCTGGAGACTTTCCACATCTCTTTGCAAGACACCTGGATGCCAAGGAGGTGTCCCTGCCACGAGGGAGGAATCTGACAGATCATTTCAGAGGCAGGGAGCAGCAGGCTCACTCCTAAACTCACCCAGACATCGTTCATTAAGTCTGGAATTAAGTTCAGCAAAATGAGTTTTGTGTGAGCTGCTCTCCCAGCTGCACCATCAGACCACTACTCACACCTTGAGCTTGACAGAGCACACTTCCAAGGCCAAGATGTTCCCATCTTTGCCCTCTGCTGGGTGCTGTGGATAAAGCAATAAATTGCACTCATAGAAATACCAGACCCATTATTTATATGAATCTTGAAAGAGCTTCTTTCCCCTTCAGGCATCATACTCGGAAGCAAAGTGTGGAGAAACCACTAACTCACACAGGGAAGGGGAAAAGAAAATTCAGCTTTTAAACAAGTCTGACAACTAAACAACTCATACAAAGCTTAGTCTGCTACTTCTCACCTACCATTTAAGTGAGCTCATCAAAAAACCCCACAATAGTAAGATTTATTGCCTCACAAAAAAGAATCAGAGTAATAGATATAGATTCATTGACTCAGGATTAATACTTTTCCCTGACAGAGACTTTCTTCTAGAAGAATAAACTCCAATCTTATAACTTTTTTCATATTGAAGTGTGCTTTTTCAGATTTAAGAGTATATATGGCTTAAGATGTATACGGTTGTTCCTGAAATTGCATGGTTAATCCTACTCATCAAATTCTAAGGTCCACCCAGAGGTATCAGATGAAACCCAAGACAGCAAGCCAAGCTCACGCCTGAGAAGTCTCCGGTAACAGCTCTGATGTTACACCCAGTGACAAGCTTGACAGCACTCAAACCAGCTTGTACAGGAATGTTCCTTAACTGATTCCTCAGCCTTACTCTCAAAAACCCCTCTTACCACAGAAATATAAAAGACTCCATCTGGATACACAAGTGTTGTGCTTGTACGTGTCTTTAAACTGCCAGCAGCATAGAATTCCCAGAGGATTTAGTCCAGTGTACAGCAGACCATAGAAAAAGACCTACATTTACCTAAAATTGTAAAGACCTATATCTACCTAAATTAAAAAAAAAAACCCAAAAAGTAGTTTAATGCTGATTGTTAAAGACAATACCACCTAGATTCATATTTGGGGGCTACAACTAACACAGTAGTTTAAAGAAATATGCCTAACTCTAAACTTAGACACTGAGTACTGCATGACCTCGCTTAACAATAATGCTGTTAAGGCAGGATTGAATACACCAAGCTCCCTGTCATGGTGATCCATGCAAATGCTTCCTTGGGCAGGGAAGGAAAAACACCCCAAAAAAACTCTAGTTGCATTCAGTGATGTGTTAGAATGTAAGAGAGTTAAACCTCTCAAAGGAAAATAAAACAAAAAACGGGTTGGTTGCAAATTAAATCACCAGGAAATAGTCTGTGAGGTGCAACTCAGCTGATGTTAGAAGTCGCTCAGACTGAGGTATTCAAGGCCTATTGTCACTACGTGTCTAAGAACTTAAAGAGCTTTCCAGGTTTCCCTACAATATTTTCAGCCCCTGAAAGATGAAGTGGTTGTAAGGTGAAACAGAAACACGCTCTTCCTCTGCACCCCTGTGTTCCGACTCCAGCGTCCCAATGGATCAGTATCCACTTCCTTTTACTCCCCATATGCTGATCCACCTCTATTATTTTTTTTTTATATAAGCTTATTTTAAGCATCAAATAGAAGATAGTACCAAGCATTATTAATCTTGCAACAGTGGCTGTGCAGCTTCAGGGTGTTGCATTTGCATGGTATTCGCTTGGGTGAGAACAAAATGCTTAACAAAAACTGCAATAAAAACAATAACAAGAAAGCCACCCAAAAAGACTCCTATAACAGTAGCGTAAGTGTCTGCTCTGGGGGCCACAGGAACTTCTTCAGCAAGGAGGTCTTTCACGGCGCTGAACGAACCGTTGTTTGGCAGAGGGTTAATACCAAGGAGATGGCACAACAGTGGGTACAAGTCTGTAGCATTCATGCCTTCTCTGGTGGCATTCTTTTGGAAAGCAGGCCCAACTGCCACAAAAATTGGATGCATTTCTGGCAAGATGTTGTCATATCCATGATTACCAACTAGAAATAAAAGACAGATAAAGGTCAATATTCTGAAGTTGCAAAACAAGCATTGAACCTTTTCCCAGAATTAGTGTAACAGAGAAAAAGAAGAGCTGTCATTTATTCTTGCAGAGGTTTAGAAGAGTCATTTTGAACAACAGCACAAATGTCTCCAAGCAAATACTAAGTCTCAAAACCTCAAAGAGAAGATGCCTTAAAAAGAAAAAAATAGAATGGAGGGAGAGGAGAGGGAGAGGAGAGGGAGAGGAGAGGGAGAGGAGAGGTCACATGGCAGTAACATGGCATGCTGTACTACATCCAACTTTCCTTGATTTTCCTCAAGGACAAACTCCAACTTTGCAACTGGATCAGAGCTCTTAGAAAAAAGAAAAAAAAAATCATCCACATACAGACTGTCTGTTTGACTCCTAGAAGCAGACAGAGCTTGAGCTCTCACTGCTTTGACACTTTGTCCAATGTTATTTATTATCTAGTTATCAAGAAGGAAAAAGTTCAAAAGTCTCCCTAGCAGGTCTCCAGTGGCCCTTCCTCACAGGGGCACTACGAACTCTGAGCAAGAGAGTAAACATGCAGGCACAAAAAGCTGCTCTCATCAGCTATCAACAACTGAAAATCTTGTTAAGTCTTGGAGGTAACGCCCTTCAGCTTCATAAGAAGTGATGAAGTTTAAAAGGTTTTCAATTAAGAAACTTAAGAACTGACTGTATGACACCTGTGGTTTTTCTCCTGACTAACCAAAAGTCTCCCTTCCACCTATAATAAACCTCAAAATGCCATATGAGGAACTTAAGTGGTTTGGTTGTTTTTTTCCTCCAAATCACCTAGAATGCATCTTACTTTATAAGGCAAATGACTGGTGCACAGTGACACATCATTCAGACTCTTTCTAGCAACAGACCCAGGTTACTGTACGTGTAGGGCATCCACAGAAGTTGAGGACTTGCAGAAAGTACTCTCATATTTCCAACCCAACCCTTCTCCAGTAAATAAACGGTCCATGACAAAATAAGGCTATTTGTCCTCTACTCAATAAGTTCAGTTGCAACTTCTTTCTTTTTTTAATCTCTCAGGAAGTGCTTGTCAGTTTGCTAGATCTCGCAAGAAGGCCTCAAGTACGTGGCCACTAAATCATGTGAACAACTTTATCTCAGAAAGTTTCGTTTTTAGAAACAGTAAATCCAGTTCCCCCTCCCCTAATAGTAGGGCGTTTCCCATCCCATCAGGAAAAAAAAGTAATTATAAATTCTAGATGCTTAGCTTCAGAGTTTTCCCTCCCAGTCTTAAAAAATACATATAATAAAAATTAACATTGGTTGAGATTGGGAGAGAAAGCACCATGTAAGGTCTCTGACTAGGAAGACACAGCAAAAAATAGTAAAGACAGAATACTTACGTTGAAAACCGTCAGACTTATTCTGTACAATTTCCCATCCTTTATCAGCTACCGCTAAGATTGGCTGAATTTTACGGTTGTGTTTATAATGCAATCTATCTGGAATCTGCTCCTTTTTATATACAGTCATGTTGGGATGAGCACTGGCCAAAGCTTCATATACTTCACCCAGCTTGCCTTCAAACAAACAAAAGAAACAAAAGACAAAACATAAGAATACTGATATGTTTACAACTCCTCAGTAGTTTAAATACAACTGGAAGAAGTGGGAAAAATACACTTCCCCAAAAGCTAATTATAGCTGTAGGAGACAACAGATTACTGTGAGACATCCAGAGTGTCACTCACACCTGGCATCAGACTTCACAGCCCCTTCCTAAGTAGTAAGTGCCTCCCTAATTTTAGAAAAATCCTGTGTTTCATAGTTATCAGAATGGAAGCTTCTCACAAGAATGAGTTAGAAAGCATTCAGTTAAGCCTCACAGAAAAGAAATCAGCTTCTCCTACCTCCATGTGAAACCTGAAACCAAGAAGATAGCTCTTCAATGTGTTCATGAAATAACATGTGCATTAAAGCCATATTCTGTCTTTCCCCCAGTTGGCTATCACGACAAATGACACTTTTTATTTATTTTAAAGCAGTTTAATTGTTAGTCGCTCTCCTTTAAAAGGCCAAAGAGAGCAGACACTTTGTTTCTTTACATCTCTGAAAACTTATTCCTGAGTGAACCCAACTATTCATTTCTCCTTCTACAAGATGTCCCAACAAACAGCTACGTATTTGACCTCATTCCACTCCCAGTTTTGATCTTCTACCATTTTGATGGCAATTTTAGCCAATTTAGAAAGAGCAGTGAATTTGTTGCAATGTGCCATGTAACATCACAGCATCAGCAATTAATTGCCTAGGGATAAGCAAAACCAGCTTGCATTAACCTTTCAACAGAAGCCTTCAGGTCACAGTCCAGATGCCACCAAGATGTTAGGAGCTGTACAAAGACTGCAGGGGCCAAGCAGGGAACACACAACAGACACTCAAAGGGACAGGCTGAACCAGCAGGTGGAGATGGCACTTTTTGGCTAGAGCTGTCAGCCACTCTGTGTGTTCAATACCAGCACGACCTACTCCTTCGTGTTCTTAGTGTCTGCTCCTTTCCCTTCCCTAGTCATCTACTGCATAGTGAGGGTAAACCCTCAAGAGCTGTACTAACACTACCAAATAAATAGGTATTTTCCACCCCCGATTTTTTATTTGCTGAGCTTTGCTTTCCAGTAAAAGTCACTGAACAGCCAGATAGCAGTTGGACAAACCTGAAGAGCAGTGCACAGAAAGGAGGAACGAGGACACAAAGACAGGAACACAAAAGCAAGTTCAGAAATCTACACAGAATCATAGCATTCCCTGGGTTGGAAGGGCCCTTTCAGATCACTGAGTCCAACCATCAACCTAACACTGACAAAACCCATCACTAAACTGTATCTCTAAGCACTACCTCTACTTGTCTTTTAAATACCCCCAGAGATGGTGACTCCAACACTTCTGTGGGCAGCCTGTTCCAATGCTTAATAACCCTTTCGGTGAAGAAATTTTTCCTAATATCCAATCCAAACTTCCCCTGGTGCAACTGGAGGTCATTTCCTCTTGACCTATCAACTGTTACTTGGGAGAAGAAACAGACCCCTCACACTGCTACAATCTCCTTCCAGGGAGTTGCAGAGAGGGATAAGGTCTCCCCTCAACCTTCTCTTCTCCAGAATGAACACCCCCACCTCCCTCAGCCTCTCCTCACAAGACTTGTTCTCCAGACCCCTCACCAGCTTCGTTGCTCTTCTCTGGATCCGCTCCAGCACCTCAATGTCATTCTTGTACTGAGCAAGTTTCTTCAATCCCCCTCCTCCTCCTCCATCAAAGCACAGATTCCTACTGAGGGCTGTGCAGTGTGTCTAACAGACTTCTGTTACACACCAAATAACTCAGCTCTGTGACTTATTTCAGTACTTTGTGCTACACACAGGCACAATTCAGACGGACAGCCGAGTGCCCAGCCAGTCTCTGCAGCCCAGCTTTACCACTACAAGATCTGATGCCCGGTTGGAAGACGCTGACATTTTCTTTGTGGCCAACGCTACTGTTTTTAGTAGACGAGGGGGATTTAAGCACATCCTGTCACTCTGACTTATCGTTTCTTGCCAGTTCTGCCTTCCCAGCCTGCTGTACATCCTGCAGTGGGTGTCCCCATGAGTCAGCTCTTCTCCAACTGCCTGCCCCAAGAAACGGCCACCTTGAGGACCACAAGAACAAGTACTTCGTTTTACCCTGAAGTAAACCAAGGATAAAACCTGGTCTACCATTTACAGCACACATGGAGCTTTGAATATATGTCAGAAAAAAAAAAGTTTGGGAGGAGGTGCCCAATGTCTTGAAAGAAACCATCTTCCGTTTCCCCTTTCAGTTCCTAGGTTCCAGTACAGAAATTCTGGAGAAAAACTGGCAATAGATCAACGTACGTTTCTTATCTCAAACTGGCATAAAAAAACCCCAATGACTAAATTTAAGAAACATAATAAAGGTCAAGATGAGACAGCAAAAGTCCAGACACAATACAGAGAGTTACAGCAACAAGAAAAAGGACTCCAATCTAGCATTTCTAGGACTATATTAGTAACAACATTAATTTCATTACATCACTTTTCTATATGGGTTAACAGGGAGGAGAAGCCCCAAATAGAGCAAACTATGACTTTACAGTAAATTAATTATCTGAATTAACATATTTATATTAAATGCAAGAAAAATGCCAGCATCACCAGCTGTACTACAGGCACAATCCTTGCCAACACATAATTAGTTCACACAAACTAATACACTAGCATGGTCAAATAATGGCTTTAATCCACCTCTTGGGGAAGAAATATGCAGCCAAACAGTTAAAGTAGCAGAAATAGCTGCATTTTGAAACATTCAAAATTTTTCTCAATGTCTAAGTTTTACCATTCTCTTCGTTTAAGCAAAATAAATGGAATGACCGTTGAAGAATCAGTCTTAGGTACTTCAGTATATGTAATTTCATGGCTAAACTGAGAATGAAGGTCGTTGTTTTATCATAAAAATTACAGCTGGTAACACAGAAGGAAGGAATTTTAGCTGTGCTCAAAACTAATTCTTGTTTACTGGTAATGTAATAAATATCTGAACCTCTGGGCAATACTGAATTCAAGCTATTTCTGAAATCCATCAAAATGGCTTTTTTACTCTTCTGTCATCTAATTGCCAGAGGGATGCTATTTCTTTTCAGTGTTCAGCAGACAGGAGAATCAGGTTACGCATCTTCAAGTTCTCATTTACTGTATTAAGGCTGTTTCAGCACTAAAGTTTACTTTTACAACTCCTTTATTTGGTAACAAGAACATCCTGGTCAACTATGTTTGTGTCCATTAGGTGGGAGGTCCCAAACTCAGCTCTTCTGTCACCCCTGAGAGGAGGAGAGCCCAGCTACAACCACCCAAATGTGCCTGGGCAGCAAAGGGTCTCAGTTTGGACAAACTAACACTTTGCAGTATTCTTCAAACTGAAAACGACAAGAGATATTTGTTTACACATTTAAAGGTAACTTAAGTCTGCAAAATACCCTCCCTGCTGGGGCATTAAATACACAGTGCTATCCATTAGTGATGGAAATGTTACTGAAAACTTAAAATCACCTTTTTCAAAGGTCACCTTAAAACTCAACTTCCCGATTAGCACCTCTGCCCACACAGACAAAAATGCTGTTTTCCAGGTTAACGCATTCACACCAAAGTTATAGCTTTTGCTCATCAAAATAAAGAACAGCACCTCTACACATTAAACACACACTTGACACTTAAGCAACCCTTCTATGACTGCAACGAGACTTCAAATTTGGATTCCAACAGTATTCTTGCCCATTATTATCACAACAAAAAATGGTATGAACATAACTAGCTGGCTGTTCAGCGTGATGGGGGAAAAAACCTGAAGTGTACTATAATAGCTGGCAGCTAATCAAATAGCCAGCACAGGCTTTCCTTTTATCAAAGGTTCCCATCTGGTTTCAGTTTACTGTTAGAAATCTAATTCTCCCACTATGACTTTAGCATCTTGATGAAAGGCAAGATAAGCCACATTTAGTTGTTATCTATCTAGAACGCCATTCACGCTTGATAATGCCGTTAGATTATCTTACTTCTCATAAGGACTGAAGGTACTTGCCAACATTAGTCAACAACAGACAGATTTGCTCACTTTTCGTTTCAGAAAGTTAACCCAGGCTTTTGACAGAGCCGAAGGTTACTTGCCAATATTAGCCAACAACAGACAGATTTGCTCACTTTTCATCTCAGAAAGTTAACCCAGGCTTTTGACAGAGCTAGCAAAAAGAACAAAGAGCTGATCCTGCCAGTACTCCTTGTTCCAGGCTGATGTCCTACTGCCATCAGTGCTGCCACCGCCACCTCAGTTAAGGGTCAAAGTCTATAAAATGTCAATACTCAAGTATTTTCTTCAGAGAATTTTACTGCTATAGCTCCTACCTTCTTTTGGCAAAATAGCTACTGCAGGAGAATGGTCAATGACTGTATAGAGCTCTCTATTCACATACTGATCAAGCTCGATGAGCCTTTCCGAGGAGGACTGGGACATTCCGTGATCACTTGTGATTATGACATTGATCGCACCCCACAGCTTCGCTTTCTTCAGTTCAGAGATGAGATAACCCAGCTTTTTGTCAATATCACTAATTACCGGTCCCATTTGCGGGTTATCTGGGCCCAGAACATGGCCCATCTCATCAGGCTGTTCCCAATACAGGAGACCAAAGTTTATGGGTTCTTCTGATGTAAACCAGTCAATAAGCCTGGCAACTCTGTCTTCGAAGGAAACAGATTCATTGTAGGGCATATAATACGTAGGAAAGACTCCATGGATCTTCACATCTGTTCCAGGCCACATAGCTGCTCCAGTTTTATGCCCTTCCTTCTGGTTCGTTACCCATATTGGGCTGGCTTCTTCCCAGAACTTGGAGTTATGGACATCCATTTTGTTCAGAGAGAAAGTTTCATTCAGAATCGGGTCATACATCTCGTTAGCAACTACACCGTGGCTTTCTGCGTAGAGACCAGTCACCATTGTATAATGATTAGGATAAGTTTTCGTTATAAAGACATTCGTGACCTGTTTGACACGAACACCATTCTCCATGGCATAATGAAAATTGGGAGTTGAGACTTTATAGATGTAATCCCATCGAAATCCATCGAAAGACACCAGCAACACCCTGGGCTGGGCTGGCTGGAGAGACAACACGCTTGGAAGAAATAGTAAGAAAATTGGCAGGACTTTCCAGTAACAGTTCATGGCTACTCTGGAAGGTATTCGTCCCCTCTTCTGGGGCAACATGGCATCTGTTGGGCAGAGAGAGAAGATTTGTTTGCGTTAACCTGTTTGTCAAAGTCATAACATAGTTTTAAGAATGAGTGGCTAAAATAGTCCTTATATATTTATAGATCTTGCCTTACCAACACTGAGCACTCCAAACATCGGAACAAAACCTTTTACCTGTCAGCTACATTGATGTCCCAATTTCAGAGATGGGAAGTGAGGGACTACACTTTGTTGAGTGAAAAGCAACTTCTTTATCCAAGACCACTGCCCAATCTCTTCCTTTTTCCTTCCTGCTCCCAATACACAGGAACTCCTGCTCTTGCAACTTGACAAGTTTTCAAGTATTTTCTGTACTCAGAACTGTAAGAAACCATCCTATGAGAAAGCTTCTGCGTGTTAAGAGTTAAGATGTAAACAAGGGCAGTTCTCACCTTGAGAGTAACAAGGTCCATCCCTACCAGAACTTTATAACCCTCATTAAAATCTTCTCTTCTGCGCAAGCGTGGGCACAGACACACTAGTGTCACATGGCAGAGCAGCTCACACTGGAACTGGAGGACTCTTCACCTGCTGAGGGCAAATTCTAGTGGAAAAACTAGCAAATAAGCTTTGAATTTCAGATACAGCAGTATATCCACAACAAGGTTTTGCTGCTTAAAAGGTCAAGAGTTAGACAAACAAAGAGCAGGGACATCAGTTTCCCAACATTTTATCACATCCCTAACATGATCACAGCATCCCTGCACAACCAACCTCTTACTGATCAACTAATTCTGACGCTTACTACCAAAGATCACTCCTAGTGTGCAGACAGCTTTACAAACAAGTCATACAGGTAGTTTGCAGTTTAAGTTCTTCTCACTAACCCCTTATAGAATCATAGAATCGTCTAGGTTGGAAGAGAGCCTTGGGATCATTGAGTCCAACCATCTACCCTACTCTACAAAGTCCTCCCCTACACCATGTCCCTTAGCACTGCATCTAAATGGCCCTTAAACACAGCCAGGGATGATGACTCCACCTCCTCCCTGGGCAGCCTGTTCCAATGCCCGACCACTCCTTCGGTGAAAAATTCCTTCCTAATGTTCAGTCTAAACCTACCCTGTTGGAGCTTGAAGCCGTTCCCTCTCGTTCTGTCACTAATTACCTGTGAGAAGAGACCAGCACCAACCTCTCTAGTGATCACAGCTTCCCTACACAACCAACCTCTTATTGACCAACTAATTCTGACACTTACTACCAAAGATCACTCCTAGCGTGCAAACAGCTTTACAAACAAGTCATACAGGTAGTGTGCAGTTTAAGTTCTTCTCACTAACCCCCTATGTCTCTGAATGGATTGGAAAGAGGTGGCTGAAAGATTCAGCAGTACAGTTGTGAGCCACACTGCATCTTCCAAACAAGCATCATCTGTCCTTTCTAGTCAAACGCCAGTGCTACCTGAGCACAAGCAGCATGACATGAGCAAGACACAAAAAATACAATGCAAATCCCATCTACCTTAAAGCATTTTCTCCCTTCATAAATATTCAACACTAATTCTGGTCAAATGACATAAGGATATCGACTATTCCTATGACTGGCACTCCTTATCTAATAGCACGACATATTTCACACAACTTCATACTGCATTGGGCTGTACTCCCCTGCCCAGGTCTCCCTCTGTCCTTCCCAAACACTTGCTTGTCCAAAACACAGTTACCTAACTCAGGATAAGTTCCTTGCAAGAACCCTCACACAGGATTTCCCCATCTGTAACTGGCCTAAAATTTCATGCTGATATTCTCCACTTCTTGCTCAACAGCATCCGCCAACGGCAGCACCGGATACTGTCCAATCCAATCCTGCACGTGGGCTGTACTGACACTCCACACAGTTCCCTTTGGGCTCCCATTTTTCAGCAATCCTCTGGAACCAGTCCCTACTGAAATTTGGCTGGAAAACAGTGATTGTGTAACCAATAAATCCATACTGATATCCAGAGTACATAAATATCCTAGTACATATATACCCTAAAGAGTGATAGCTTAACAGGCATCTCAAAACCACTACAATGATGGAGTAAGATTTGTTATTTTGGTAGAACACAAGATATTTTCCACGGGAATTTTTCCTATTTTTGATTCCCCAACTAAATCTCTCATGAATATATATATCTCTATATATACACACACACTGGAAAGCACTGTTGACTTGCAGGCAGTCAAACATCACACTGAACCGGTGTGTCTCCTAAAATTAAAACCCAGGCCTATAGCTGTGCTAAGAACAAACTGACACTTCAAAGATATAACTCCCCTTTCAGCAAATGCCAAAAAGGCTGCAGAATCACTCAGTTTCACCCAATGTGGGACTTCTTTCAGCTGAATCCGAAGGAAGAAAAGGAGAACACGCTGCAGCGTCCACCTGAACCCCATCCACCAAATTAAGCATAGCCCATGGCTGAGCCATAAATTCCACTAATTTAGGTCCTCTGAATTTTACAGAGTTTACAATGTCGGCATCACCTAATCCTTTAATGGCCTATTTTTAATAAATAATGAATAACGGCGGGGTTCTTTTCAAGGCCTTCCTACGCTGCTCTTCACTGGGTGTTAGTCTTCCCAGAAGCCCAGCCCCAGGGGGCTCTGGTGGGACCAAGTGTCGGCCTGCCCAGGGCTGGGGAGCTGCCACACGGATAGACAGACGGACAGATAGACAGACAAGTGCCCAGGGACAGAGGAATGACAAGGCCAGGCCGGCCTCCCCCTGCACAGCCGCCTCCAGCGTTGGCCGGACACCCCTGTGGCGGCTTTACCTCACCCTCACAGGGGGAGACACCCCGAGCAACACCCGCACGAACCACCCCGCGCTCCCGCTCGCCAGAAAGCCCCCCCCAACCTCCACACGAGGTCCTAACGAACCGTCCCCATCTCCTCCCGCAGCCCCTCGCTCCGGCTGCCCCGACTCCCACCGCCCCGCCGGGCCTTCCCCTCACCCGTTACCTGCCGGCGGCGGAGGAACACCACAACCCACCCACTCCACCCCACGGCCGCCTCACCGGGCGGAGGCGGCGGACGCACGTACGTAGCGCCGCGCTGGGAGTGGCCGGTGGAGCTGTCAGTCAGCGCCGGGTAACGGTCGCACCGCCCTGAGGGGAGGGGAGGCGGGACGGGACGGGACGGGGCGGAGCCGCCGTGAGGGGAGGCCGTGAGGGAGGGCGGTGGGGGTTATGGTGGGTCGGACGGACCGTGAGGGAGGTGGGTAACCCGGGAACGGGTGCTCCCCACTAAGGCAGCTCCCGGCGTTTTAGCTGCCGCCTGGAGGAGAGCCCCGGGTTGCCGGTGGGTTGTTGTGCGGGCCTCAAGGCGGGCGAGTTGTGAAGGGTGTTGGTGCGTGTGGTGAAATTGCTTTAAATAGGTGAGGAATGGAGCAGGGGCTGGGCTGGCTGGGCTTTGACCTGACTGAAGGCAAGGAGCAAAATTCACTTTCTGGCTATCGGCAAGTGCTTCTTCGGCTTAAATTATAGAATCGTAGAATCGTCTCGTTTGGAAGGGACCTTACAGATCATCGAGTCCAACCATCAACCTAACGCTGACAGAACCACCACTAAACTGTGTCCCTCAGCACCACATCTACATGTTTTCCAAACACCTCCAGGGATGGTCATTCCACCACTTCCCTGGAAAATGTATTCTGATTTGGGTGGTTTTCTACCTGCTTTTTTTTCACCTCTTGTGTTCTGAGGCTCTAAACTTTTCCATTCTTTTCCTGGAAGGTAATTTTTCCTGTGTTGTGATGTTCAACATAGAATCATAGAATCATCCAGGTTGGAAGAGACCCTTGGGATCATTGAGTCCAACCATCTACCCTACTCTACATAGTCCTCCCCTACACCATGTCCCTCAGTACCCCATCTAAATGTCCCTTAAACACATCCAGGGATGGTGACTCAACCACCTCCCTGGGCAGCCTATTCCAGTGCTGGTCCCTTCCAGCTCTGACAATTCCGTGATTCCATGACTCAAGCCCAGGGCAGTGGTGAAGTCTGGTCATCATATCTAAATTTTTTAAGTAAGGGTGATACCTTCCTCCCCCTCACCCCAGCTCTAAGAATTGTAGCAGGAGACAAGGCTCTCTTAATTGTTTTCTTAGTATCTTTTTTTTCCCCTTCTTTAGTTCTGTTAGAGATACGACCCTGACACTTGTACAAACAGGAAATACATGTTGCTGCTGCTGCGATGGGTGGAAGCTGGAGGAGAAGCTGTGTGGATGTGGCTTTCGTACACAGCAAAGTGAACGAGGCCACACCTGGAGCACGAAGTTCATCATCTGATTAACTAGGAAAAGGAGCACTCACATTTACTGTTGATTCAACTGGAACTTCAGCCTCTGCTCGCTGAGATCCAGAGATCTGGGGAACTGCACGTTCTGCAGTGGCTGGAACTGGTCGCTAGAGGGTACAGGTGTATATGGATTTAAGGCGCTGTTCTACATTGCTGGAAATGTTAATATTTGTCTTGGACACAAGAAATGGCTCAGGTCCTCAAAACTGTTATAAAACGAAAACAAAGCACGGACAAGGAGTTTGCTAATTCCACCAAAATGTTTAATACCGTAATAGATTTTCACTGAAGTACAGAGCTAATGTGAATATTTGTACAAAATATGTGGTTAAAAATAGTATTGATTTATAATATATACAGATATGTCACATCTGTGTCAGAAATGCAGACACTCGAATGAAAACATGAGTAAATGTTCTTTAAATCTACAACAACATACATGAAATATTTCTGCAGCTACCCACAGTAGGACAACTTGCCAGGTTGACACTTAAAGGATCCGTCAGTCGTTACAAATGGCATTTCTTTCAGAAGTTTCTGAACAAGAGCTCTGCTCTAAAATGGACTCAGAACATCGACCTTCATTAACCAAACAGTGAAGAGAACACGTCTGTGTGACACTAACGTAGACACAACTTGCTCCTACTAGATAAATGATCGATTACAATAATTTGTTAAAACAAGGCTGATTTTCTGGTGTATAATAATAATAGAGAAGTTTAATCCTTCTTGCAGGACACTCTTACTCGGGTGAGTGAGGAAGCCCCTGACTCTGCAGCCCCAGAATCTCTGTGTAGCGACTGAACAAACTGACAAAAGGGGAGAGACTAATTAAGGTTGTTTTTTATATTTTTTTTTCTAGTGCTTTGGAGCATCTGTGCAGTGGAGGTTCTTGCCCTTCCCTGGGGATTGCTGCTGCTGCTCTACCTCTAGCAGTGCGAGCTCCCCTCCAAGCCAAAGCAAATACACTCCAGGCTTCAAATAGACCTGTGGGAAAGAGCTTTTACAACACTTCCTCGTCACTGAACCCCTCAATACCACAGTCCACATGTATTTTTAAAAAAGAGCACAGCTCACGTTAGAAAAAAACATCTCCTTTTAAGAGGAGCTGAGAATATTTGAAAGCTGCTGTACTCCCCCTAGAAAATGAGCTAAAATGGGAAAAGTAGTGCCTGGATTTGGAGTTTTTTGTGGGTTTTTTTTTTGCTAGTATAACTAGTTATTCAAGTGCATCGCATGAGGATGAGTATGACCGAGGGGCTGTGTGGGACTCTTAATCCGTACCTGGTTTTGCTTTTTTGGTAAGGGTGTTTTTTTGCTAGTATAACTAGTTCTTGAAGTGCATTGCATGAGTATGACCGAGGGGCTGTGTGGGACTCTTAATCTGTACCTGGTTTTGCTTTTTGGGTAAAACAGAACTAAATAGGATTCCTTAGGCAGAGGGAAATCAAGGAAATGCAAAGGTCTTCAATTCGTACTAGTACGTGAGAGAAAGTCTTAAATGGCTAAATGTTTAGTGGTAAAACATTTACCACTAAAGAAGGGACCAAAATGAATTTAGTAAAGGTTCTTTAGAGGCCGCGGTCTGAAAGCACTAACTTTAATCAGGAATAGGATCAGGTGAAGAACCTTCATGTACCTGGGGAAAGCTCACTTGTGCTCCACAGCGAAGAGTAAATCAGGCCTCCTATAGAGCATTTCACCTCTAAATTACTCTGTAAGAAGATGGCTATTACTGCCTTGTCTAATCAAACAGAGGTTAAAGCCTGTTGTTTCAAAAGGAATCGGTGAGCTCAGAGCTTACGTTTCCAACGAGACTTCTAAAGTGGATCTAATTTTTAGAATCATGAACAATCACCCTTTAAGAAACCGAGTCTTTTATGCCAGGCATCCCGAAAAAAACCCAACAATTCCAAATGCAGATCTGAGTGATCAAATATAAGAATTTCACAAGATGGTTAATGAGCAAACTCATTGCCTGGATTCCAATCCTTTGCAAGATCCAGTACAAACTGATGCAAGAGACTGCAATTAGTTTCAGTTTTGGTAATAGTTAACATTAATAGAACTTTTCCCCCAGCCTGGGTGGGAGCTGGATACCACGTCCCTTTTTCAAGCCCAGCGGTACGTACCACACTAATCAGTTTATTAATATAGTTTCACTCTTTAAATGTTGCTTTTCAAAATGCTAATGCAAGCGGAACACAAAAACATTGTTTGCCATATTTATTTTTTTTTAAACTAAGCTCTGAATTATACAAGTGTAAAAGTGATTAATTAGCCGATAGCTTTTTAATGCTCCTATAAAATATGACTAAATAGAATATCTCAAAAATATGTACAATATCATGGAAACACTAAGGTAACCTGTCACAGTGCTCAGACGTGCCACTAGAACCAAGTCTTGCGAGATGGTTCGGTCCTTTACTCTGTACAAAGAACAGTCTGGCTTTTTGCAGCAAGCTTTTTCTTGCTGAATGGGAGGGAGGGGATAAAAAGACCCAAATAAAAACAACCCAACCCTTCCCACCTCGTTTAGGATCAGATAAAGTGATAAACAATTTATCCACCGGGCACATTTTTATAACATAAAGCACTTCACAATACCTATGTCTGTAGTCTTGTTACGGGTGAGGGAGGGATGCTCTTGCTGTGTTTTCTTGCTGAAAACAAAGTGGATGTATATGTTAGGGAGGGGGCAGTCTGTACCACCTTGTCTTAATTACAAAAAATCAAGGCCACAGAAATTCTTTGTTCTTTTGTTCCAAAACAGCAGATTCCACAATACCCTTTCTTTCTCTGTGCATCGTAAATGTTTTCCTGCTCTTAACTGTACTTAGGAAGTCATTATAATTTCGATGTCGTATCTGAAGAGGTCAGAAAGGACAAGTGGGCAGCAGGCGACAGAAATAAGCAACTGCCCTCCCCTGATCTCCTCCTTTAATTTCCACCCGGCAACAGGAGCAGGGTCCACTCAGCAGAGGGCCCCAGGGCACGGCCTCCTGCCTTGGAAAAGAAATTAAAAGGATGTCATCTGTGTCACTGTGCAGCGGGAGCTTAACGGAACACAGAGATTTCACCCTTATTTATAGTCTTACAACACGAGAGACTCTGCTCTAGCACCGGGGACACCTGTGGATGGGGCAAGTCACAGGGACTGAGCTCACAGAAAAGGACTCATCACAAAAGAAACTCTCACTGAAGCAAGCACTGCTGGTGAGATGCTGCATTAAATGGGACAGTCACTGCATTAAATGGGACAGTCACTCTTCCAGATGGCCAGCAGGTTTCGAAAGAAGCCTTTCTTCCATTGCCAGGCAAGAACCAGCCTTCAGCAAAACACCAGGTTCTCTTAAGAGTCACAAATGCTTTTATGATGGGGACATTATTCAGTAACGCCTGAAACATTTGTCTACAATGACCACATTTTAGCATATAAAGGTGATATAAAGCTTTGCCCGTAGTTACAACGGGCTTCTCAGGTTTGTAGCTGTGTTTCTATTTCTGTGCTGGAACCAATGAGCCGTGTTCCGCTCCCTCCTGGTCTAAAGACAAGGAGTAGTCCTTGAATGGGGCCTGGTTTTAAATCTGTCTGAAAATGCACTTCGGGTAAAGAACATTTAATGTTCTTTAATTTGCAGTATAGTTTTCCGTCATTTGAGGCCAAAGTCCCCAGTTCAGAACCAAGTCCCTCCAAAGTTTGAGTACGTGGGTACAAGGACTAGACTCGGCCTGTAAAAAAATCCAGAGTATCAGCTTTGATTGGAGATCTCTCTGATCGCTCACACCAGCTGAGGATGCGGCCAGTAATTTCTTCCCTACAGCAGGTATCACCAAAAAAATCTTAGGTGTTTAAATCTTAATCTCCCTGTTCATACTGGGCTAAACCCCATGGACCTAAGCGTTCTGCATGTTCTCAAAAAAGACTGTGGTGTCACTCCTGAAACATCGTAGGTGCTCTGCAGCAGTGTGTTCACCAGGAGCATCAGTAGAATCATAGAATTGCCCAGGCCAGAAGGGACCTCCAAAGGTCATCTAGTCCGACCTCCCCGCAGTCAGCAGGGACACCCCCAACTAGACCAGGTTGCCCAGGGCCTCGTCGAGCCTCTCCTTGAATATCTCCAGGGATGGGGCCTCAACCACCTCCCTGGGCAACCTGTTCCAGTGCTCCACCACCCTCACAGTGAAGAACCCTCTCCTAATCTCCAGTCTAAATCTGTTCCCCTCCAGCTTGAAGCCATTGCCCCTCGTCCTGTCACTACAGCCCTTTCTAAACAGGTTCTCCCCAGCCTTCCTGTAGGCTCCCTTCAGGTACTGGAAGGCTGCTATTAGGTCTCCCCGGAGCCTCCTCTTCTCCAGGCTGAACAACCCCAGCTCCCTCAGCCTGTCCTCGTAGCAGAGGTGCTCCAACCCCCTGATCATCCTTGTGGCCCTCCTCTGGACCCTCTCCATCAGGTCCATGTCCTTGTAGTCTCAGGTTACAGTCCTGGGGCAGCGAGTGACAATTTATTTACTTAAACCGATTCTAAATGCATCACTGAAAAAATAATTGAAGTGAAACCTCTAAGGAGTTACTTTAAGACAACTTTACAGAGATACTGTGAGGATACGAAAGCCTTGGTTTTTGATCAGTCTCTGCTGTATTTAATGTGCTTCTATGGGTGTCACACGTGCACGACGATGCCCGTAACGCAGGAACAAGGATCACTTTATAGAGAGATGCTAAGAAAAGGGCTACATCTCACCAGGGATATCAGGGGAACGAGCTGTATGAGAATGGCAGGTCCTCCTCCTCAGAACATCCTGGCGTTGAGAATGGCACCTCCCATCTTCACGGACAAAGCCACCGCAGAGCCCACAGCCCAGGGCAAGGGGACTTGTCTCTGCTGAAGCCTGTAGCCTCACCGCGAATTCGGGGTGGAAGGGAACCCTCCCTCAGAAATCGTTAGGTTTTTATGACAAAAATCTTGATTACGGAACCTAAGCTGACTTTTCAGATCCTAGAACGAGCTTCCAAGACGTATTTACTTCTTTTAAAACTTGTAAAGGATTTTAAACTCTGGAATCTCACTGTGTGCCATTTTATAGTCGCTTTTGGGAGTACAGCTGCAGCTAATTAGCTTAAAAATCCCACCGTATCTTACACATATGCTCAGTTTTCTGCAGTATTAATTTCAGTGGAACTACTCATGTGCATAAATTAAGCGCATGCTTAAATATATGCAAAATCTGAGCTCAAATGTCTAGAAAATATGTTCTCAAAATGACAAGTAGGCATTTAAAAAAAAAAAATAATAAAATAATAAATCATCACGGCAGGTCTGCCAGACAGGGAATCCAGTGTCTGTCTGCTCTCAGCCGCGATGACAACACAGAACAATCCCTGTAACCCAGTATACATTGCAAGTGAAAGAAACATGCAGGACAGAGTGAAAAAAGGGGATTCGGTTGCATGCAGTCTAATTTCAAGTGTGTAATTATGGTCCTGTTTTCTTTGGCCTAAAAAAAAAAAAAAAAAAAAAAAAAAAAAACCCAAAAGAACACCAACTAACCTCTCCTCACCTCCACAAACCCAAACTGCGTACAGCTCAAAAAAGGGCTTCAAAGCACAGGAAGCAGGGAGGGAAAAGGTGTGAATATTGGGGATGTACAAGTAATTCCTAAGAGTTTCAGGGCTATTCAGCACACCACTAGAGAGCCTTCAGCCTGCATCACTGCTGGAACTTACAGCTACGGCAGAGAGCAATGAATCCCAGCTGAAACGAGCAGTCAGTCCCCTTCTTTTTCCTCCTCGGGCTCAGAGAAAGTACCACTCACACCTTTACGGAAGATAAAATTACAGTTTCTATTGATATTCTGGCTCCCTCCTCCTCAGAGACAAAGACTGAGACACCAGACCCTCCAGCAAGCTGCTGCCTCTGCCCTCAGCCCAGAGAGCTCCGTCTCACGCCCCGGGGCCACCAGTAAGGACCAGTGTACTTACTCCACAGCTGCTGGTGGAAAAGGGTGTTTTTCTGCTGTTTCTAAAAACATTGCAAAGATAGTATTCCCTAAAGAAAAAGCCAGGGGGACAAAAAGGCCACCAAGCTGGTAGTAGAGTGGAAACAACACACACCCCCCACTCAAAAAATTCAAAAAGAAAAGGAAAAGGAAAAGATGAAGATCTGCTGGGGAGCTGAGGAGGGCAGAGGAGCTGGCTGCTTGATGAAGGGCACCAGCAAATATTGGGGGAGTTTGAATATCAAGCCTGATCTCGGCCTAATTGCCCACCCTGAACCATCTCTCTGGTAGCGGCGTTTCAGCACACAAATTATAGCTGTGAAAAAATCCTCAGGCTGAAACCCTCCCTTTGTTTCTTCAGCCTTGTTTTGTCCTTTCCAGAAAAATCTATCCGTTGGTGTGTGATATGGTTACATATACAAAGATCTTTTTTTTTTTTTTTCCTAGCCCTTTAATTACATAGGCTTGATTACTGTGAAAGGGATTTCAAGGAGTTGAATGTCCTGGTTACTCAAAAGGCGATGGCTGCCTTTCAACAAAACAAAGCAAACAAAAAAAACCCAAGAGCTGTGCTGGAGGAGAGAAGTGCTGCTTCTGCCAGGAGAGGCTCAGTTAGATACGGGAGGGGGCAGCCCAGGGCGCCGGGTTTGAATGATTTTTGGCTTTGGAGAATTCTTTGGGTCCTCGTCATCTTCCATGTCGCTGTCGCAGACGTGCACCACCACGCTGGGAGTGGACTCCGTCCCCGCGTGCAGCTCGTATTTCTCTCCTGGAAGCAGAAAAAAAAAGAAAATAGATCAAAGGATGATCGTCTGACCGTGGTGCTCTTGGACTGCAGAACATTCCTGCACCTAGAGCGGGCAGATGAGTGTGTCCTGGTCCTAAACACAGGTGAGGGCAAGCATGGGCAGCCTGCATCGGCTGCCACTACAGATTCTGGGCATCCTGCCCCTGGGGGCAATGATTGTTGGTCTGTAAAGCATTAAATAAAATACACTATAATGGTGTTTCGCACCAAAATCAGTGGCCAGCAGCACTAGAAAAACAAAGAAAAGAAGAGTACAAAGAGGAGAGACAACACAGAAGTTCATGGTTAAGAAGAGGGACTGGAACCCAACCTATCAAACATGAGGTGTGAAGTCATGTCCCACCTCTTGGGTTGGGGCTATTCTTTGGTTCATTTGTTTTCTTTCAGTCTAGGGTGGCTCCAGTCCCATTTGAAGTCTGCTAGATTCTGCCACTTGTCACCTCCAGATGAACATCAACACTTGGTCCAATTGCTCCAGAAATAAAAAATAAAAATACATTTATCTGCTCCAGACAGATTTTTGAGACTCAAATCTCTTTAGTTGGGGCTGTAACAAATTCTGCCTCTACTGATGAGATTACAGAGCATGGCCTATAAATGCTCACTACCCGGCAAGCATTTCAAACATATATTCCATTCTCCAACTACATTCCTTATTTAAATCTTCACCAAGATGAGCATGGCTTAGGTGGTTACATGCAAGAGTCCACAAGCAAACAAAGGAAAACCAGGATCAGGCACAGGGCCACAAAGATGCTCAGAGGCCTGGAGCACCTCACCTATGAGGACAGGCTGAAAGAGTTGGGGTTGTTCAGCCTGGAGAAGAGAAAGGTCTGGGGAGACCTTATAGCGGCCTTCCAGTATCTGAAGGGGCTACAGGAGAGCTGGAGAGGGACTTCTTATGAGGGAGTGTAGCAATAGGACAAGGGGTAATGGTTTTAAACTGAAAGAGAGGAGATTTAGAGTAGATATCAGGAAGAAATTCTTTCCTGAGAGAGTAGTGAGACACTGGAACAGGTTCCCCAGAGAAGCTGTGGCTGCCCCATCCCTGGAGGGGTTCAAGGCCAGGCTGGATGGGGCTTTGAGCAACCTGGTCTGGTGGGAGGTGTCCCTGGCCAGGGCAGGGGGGTTGGAACTCGATGACCTTTAAGGTCCCTTCCAACCCAAACCATTCTATGATTCTATGACTTTCAGTCCTGCATTCATTCTGTTGGCACTACACGTGTTTTGGATTGTAAGCAGGATGTAAGCAGGTATTGGATATTAAATTACAATTAATTAATTTCAGATTGTAGAGAGAGAAAGTCCCCATGGTGACATTTCTGACAGAATGACTTGGTCTTCCAGAAGTGACAAACACCCATTAGCAGCACTCGAGACTAGAAACCATTCCAGATAATGCTCTGTCCCACTTTGGACTCTGTCATCACACTCATCTCCAAGACCCACAAGCAGCAGTTAAATTAAAACGGGCTTACACCGACCACACGCACACCTGAGAGCTTGGATTTTCTTTTCTGCAAGATTGCTCCAGAACCACTGCCTATTTCCTGCAAAATACTCCGAGAGGAGGGAGGTGAGGTCCCAACATACCTCGCTGACCTCTACTCATGGCCCAGCAGCTCCTAAATGCATCGTGGGCAGAACCCGGCAGGGATGGGTGGTGTACGATGACAGTGAAGGGGCAGTCCCTACCTCAAAGCACTTGCAGTTTGCTCTTGACCTCTACTCGTGGTCCAGCAGCTCCTAAATGCATGATGATGCATCCTGTATGAAGTCCCTACCTCAAAGCACTTGCAGTTTGCTCCTCTTACTAATGTGGATTTTTATTTATTAGCAACTTTGCAGCAGGGTAATTAATGAGAGGAAGGGGCTGCAGGTTTGGCCCTGCACTGGCAGTTCTGGGACTGTCATCACCTCCTATCTGCGCTGACAAATTCTTGGTCCAAATACGACCGGGTGGCTTGGGACTAGAGGATGTGCTGCATTTTTGCCTAAAAAATAGGAGGCAACTCGTGAATAATAGCTATAAGTCAGGCCTCTTGCTGTGAGAAATATTTTACTGCTGTGATGCCATTAATGTTGACATTTAACTGCTCTATTTTTGGCAACCTTTCCTCCGAATCCAAAACGAGCAAAGCATTTACAGGTCTCGCTGATAGGCTGGAATATAAAAAGGAGAAATAGCTCGGTTGTGCTGCATTGAGGAAATTATATGGTGGTTTTTTGTTTTTTTTTTTCTCTTTGCCTATTTTCCCTGCGGGCTTCAGCTAATTTCTCAGCTCTGGGCTGACGTCAATGCTGCCAACCGGCACCCGGGGCCGCATCGGTCACTGTCAGCGCCGCCGAGCTGAGCGCCGGCCCCGCTCCTCCTGCACCAGCACCCCCGAGTAAATCACATTCACCACCCTCTTAAAAAGGTAATCATCCCAGTTCAAATACCACATCCTTTTACTGTTCAAAATTCCCCCCAGAAGGACTCTCTTCCCCTGAAAAAGAACAGCGGAAGAGAGTACAGACACAAGGAAAAAAAATTAAAATATATATTCGGATGCCTTTGGCACAAATAACTGCGACAGCAATTAACGTCACAGAATCACAGAATCTTAGTGGTTGGAAGGGACCTCTGAGATCATCGAGTCCAACCACAAAAAAAAAAAAAAACCCAAAAAAAACCCCAAAAAACCACCCAAAAACCAAAACACACCACACCAAACGCCCACCAAAAACACCGCACCCACCAACTAAACCCCACACTCAACACCTCACCATAAACCAATAACCTTGGGCACTAGAGCATGCCCTGAAGAGCCATGTCTATACGTTTCTTAAATCCCTCCAGGGATGGTGACTCCCCCACCTCCCTGGGCAGGCTGTTCCAGTGCCTGACCACTCTCTCAGTAAAGTAATTCTTTCTAATATCTAATCTAAATCTCCCCTGCCCCAACTTCAGACCATTTCCTCTGGTCTTGTCGTTCGTCCTTTGGGAGAAGAGGCCAACCCCTGCCTCTCTACAACAATCAGTCACTTTGCAAATCAAAATGTGAGGCACTCATAAATTAGGTTTTTTAGGCACGGAGTTATTTCTGAGCACAGATGAGCTGCAGACTCAGTGCTGTACCCACGATTATTCGTGCCTGCAGAACTGTGGCTCCAACTGCAGAAAACCCCTTTCTGGCTGAGCCAGGAACAGCCCAGCAGTAACTACGGGGCTTTTATACAGCTGGATCTTGTGCCTGAACAGAACTGTTGTTTGGGGAAAAATACTAAGGTAGTAAGTCCAAAATTAAAATCCAGTAGATCCAGCCAGGTTACACCTTCCCTTCTGCTTTTTTAAATGTTTTCTTCTTCTTGCCTCTTAAAAAACACCTAAAAAGGAATAAAAATTGAGCTAAATGCACAGCAGTTAAACCAGTGGAGTCATGGTTGGATCTCTACAATCTAGTTCTGTTTACAAGACATGGGTTGGCCCAAGCTAAGAGTAACCAGTCGAGTTACCATAGTTAAGACTCAACAGCTCCTGGAGTTAATGCCAGTCCAGCATCTGTGCAATTATCTCATTCAGCTGCCTCTGATGCTGCCTCCTGTGTCTTCCCTACATTGTCCCATCATTCCTGCTCCTCCCACTTTCCTGGAGACCTCTTCCAGGTTGAGACGAAGGATTCCTGGGGAGAGGCATCTTTCTCCTCCAGCAGTCTCTGGGCTATCGCTATCCCTTATTATTAAGTTCTTTAAACTTCATGTAAGCTCACATAACAATGGAAACTCACATAAATTTACTCAGAAAAATATCACCAAATTTATCAAATATGCTCAAACATCTAAATTCTGCCTTCAGGATATAACACAGGGAAGAATTAAACTGTGGCACCTCCACCTTGTCAATTCATCAGAAAATGTTCCAATAAAATAGCAGTGATGTTCCCCCTGTCGTTTGCTTCGCATCAGAAAAAAAAATAGGAATTTGAAGTTTCACCATTCAACAACAACCCAGCTGTTTTTATGTCACTTGACAAACTCTTTTGTGACCACGTTAACCACAAGCAAACCCACAGCCTCAGGTGACGCAAGAAAGAGACCACAGGAACAGCACAAAAGCAACTTAACGATAGTTCAGAATTAAAGCTAACAACTTGTGGTTTTCTATCCCTTTGTGAATCAGTGCTATGACCTTCCATTGATGCTGCATCTCTTGTCATATAAGGCTCTTTCATCCAGCGAAGAGTATGATCATACACTTAATTAATAATGAAGAAATGTTAATGATGACATCTGTCCATTCCACCTTAAACATGTCATTAGCATCACAAAAACACCTTCTCCTTAGTGTCCCCTCAGCACTAAGTCTGTGTCAAAGTGCTGTATCACACATTCCCAGCAAATAAAGTTACAGAATCATAGAACCACAGAATGATATGGGGTTGGAAGGGACCTCTGGAGATCATCTAGTCCAACCCCCCTGCCAAAGCAGGGCCACCCAGAGCAGGTTGCACAGAAACGTGTCCAGGTGGGTTTGGAATGTCTCCACAGAAGGAGACTCCACCACCTCTCTGGGCAGCCTGTTCCAGGGCTCTGCCACCCTCAAAGCAAGGAAGTTCCTCCTCATGTTTAGGTGGAACTTCTTATGCTCAAGTTTGTGCCTGTTTCCTCTTGTCCTGTCACTGGGCACCACTAGAAAAGACTGGCCCCATCCTCTTGACACCCACCCTTTAAGTATTTATAGGTGTTGACCAGATCCCCCCTCATTCTCTTCTCCAGACTAAAAAGACCCAAGTCCCTCAGCCTCTCAGGTTGGCAAAATTCACCTCATACAGAGGACAGACAAAGAAACTGTTCACTATTTACATTCTGAAACGAGTTTTCCTGGTCCTCAGATACTGATCCTACGGAATCAGTGTGTTTAATACAGCAAAGATTCCTCACAAGTTACCGACACAGGAGTCAGGCTTTAACATTCAGAGTTCTGTAAACGGTGCCAGTGAGTATTTTTTGACAGCTGCTAAAGCCATGCTTGCATTTTTATGGCGTTTTTTGAATGAAAAAAAAAAAATCTCTGATGTAGCTGAGGCTAAGAGTGTGATGGGATGTACAGCAGCACGGTTACTGACGTGCCACCGAGAAACCGCTTTTTGGTGGGATTTGTTTTTCAATGAAATTCTAAACATAGTAAATGCCCAGCCCAGAACTGCAACGCTATTTTAAAACCACCACTGCAGTTAACTAAAATTGATCTCTCCTAACGAGTGCTAAAAATAGAAAGAAGAGAGCACACAATGACTTTTCCTATCGCTCCCTGCAGGCTCCTTAAACGCGGCTGAATATGACCTTCACGCAGAGCTGTCCCAGAGCGTGGCACAAAGAGTGATATTTCACATTCCACTGCTCTAGAGCAGGAATTGATTTATTACCCAGCGAGCTAGGGAATTCGTTTACATGTTTCCATTTATAACACTGCTGCATCAAAGGAAAAAAAAGAAAAAAAAGGAGGTTTTTTTTTTGTTTGTTTTTCTTTTATTCAGCAGTTTAGAAGCAAAGCATCAATTCTGGGAATAATAATATGCAATATAAGACCAAGTGTTACACCTGACAGCCCTTTTCTATGGGCTTTCCTGCTGAAAGGGGAATAAAACACAGGAATCTCTGGTGTTTGCCTGATCTGTGTTTCCCCCATGTGAAAAATGAGATGATCCTGCAAACCTTGTGAATCAGGGAACATCTCTTCCTGCGCCCCACGTGCTTCAGCTCTGGGTTACTCTGGGGCAGTTACACAAAAGCCCCAGTGACAAAACGGAATTTTATCTGCAATTGGAAGCTCAGAAGAAGAAAGCAGCATCTTCAGTAGAGCTGGGGAGAAAGCAATTCTCGCATCCCACATGAATTTCAAAAATAAACTCTAATAAATTTTCATGAGCTCGCCCCCCCAAATTGTTATTAGATGGGAACTGAAATGTTTTATTTTAATACGAAAATAGTTTAACTAGCTATTTTTTCTTGTGGTTTTACAAATGTAAATTAGACTAAAATTTCTCAATGATATTGCTTAGACCTGAAACTGGAACCTTGAAAATTTTAGAAGAGGATGCTTTAACAGCTATTCCCAGCTCACTTCAATTCCTGGCATCACCTGAAGGTGGGAAGGCAGAAGAAAGTCATTATCCACTGACATGTGTCCTATGTCCATAGAGGCTACAACTTATCCCGTTCCTTCTGCAAACAACAGCTTGAAACAGAAAATAACTGGGCAGTCCCAAGAGAGCAATCCTGCCAGGGCTGGGGAACAGTAGCTCCATCTCAACAAACGTGTTAAGGTGAGAGGTTCCCCACTTGGGTGGAGACCCAGAGATGCTGAAACGTTCAAGATGGAGACATCTTGGAATGCAGCAGGGAGCAGATGGGACTGAAAGCAAAAACTCATCAAGTTCACGAAGAAGCATTTGTCCACTCCTACACAAGCCATCAGTTGCCTCATCTAAGCACAAACCCAAGCACAAGAAATTGTGTACACAGGCTTTGATCCACCATTCAGAGAGTGCTCACAAGCTGCAGAAGTGATGTAATTCTGTATGTACACACGGTAAAACTCACTCTCAAGCAAAGAACCAGCTGAAATGCATCAACTTAGACCCAAAGCCTTAATGCCACTTACAGGCTTCACGCCAGCTTCCTCTGCAGTGCTTTATCTGCGCTGCTATTTCTCCTCTGCTTTTCCTGATCCTGCTTTTCACAGGGGGACCACGAGCTTACCTGGTCCGAGCTTGGAAACTGCATAGAGGAGGTCGTAGTTGATGACAGGGGTGGCGTCATCTATGGGCTGCCACCCTACAGGTGGGGAGGCTGGAGGTGAGATGAGGAACTGTTTCGCGGGCTGCGGTGGTGCCAAGTGAAGCTTGTCTCCATCTGTCTCGGAGGTCTGGATCTTTAAAGGATAACAAATAATACATTGTTTAGAAGGGGATGGGCGAAGAGAATGATTACTCAAATCATCCACTCCTAACACCAAATGCCACCCAGGCAGGGTTTCGGTGTCAGTCTCAGCAGAGGAGGCCTGGAGATGAAATTCATCTCAGCCTTACAGATGGTTCCTCTACAGTAAATACGCTGCGGGGGGCTGTTGTGTGAGCAAAGCTTCAATGTTTGTGCCTCTTGTCTGTGTTCCGCCAGGATAAACGCAAAGCTTTGGGATCCACAGCTGCCAGTTCAGAGATTTTTGAGGCTGAAAAGATATTGTTGTGATCTACTGGCCTAAACTCCTAAATATAAACAGACGTCAGACAAGAAGCCGGTAACTCCTGCACCAAGGCCTTATCAGTAACTTCAGGAAGGTTTCTGAATATTTGAGTTCTTCAGGCTGAAGCGATAAGGGAACCTATCATGTTCCTTAGTCATTTGCAACTCGTTTTTCTCATTTTATTTCCATCTTAAATTATTTAGCTTAATTCCTGTTTTTTCTCTGGTATATTAAAGAAGCCTCTAGATAAATGAATGACGCTGCAGCCACATTTGAGTGAGTTTAAAGCCAGCTCAGGTCCAGAAGCAACAAACTGCATTTGCACAACAGCAAGCAAGCCTGAGACAGCACCGGGATGGGTTTTGCAAGGTTTGGGTCTCTCAACTCCCTGTTCCTCAAAACTCCCAGTTCTGGAATTGCTTATTCAGTCTGGCTCAGGCCCATGGAAATATCCCCTGCTCCAGACACTCTGCTGCTTCCACATCTTCATTCCCTGGACACAACTAATAAGCTCTTTTAAGACGGCATGTACTGGAGAGCGTAGTGCAGGTACCTAAATGGCTTTGCAGGAAATCAGCTTAGATATGGAGACTAATCACTATTATGCTCTGTTTCTTGTGTTATCTCAAGGTTTCAATTAACCTCTTGATTTGTGCAGAGTGAAACGATTCTCAGACCTGCTTAGCAGAAGGTTTTGAAAGCTTCCAGAAAAAAAGTTAGAGCCAGATCTGGGAGATTAAGGCACATAAAATGGGATTGAGGTAGATTTTCAACACTTAAATCCAACTATAAGATCTTCTGAACTCATCTAACCCGTTAAGCATATTGGTTTTTTCACTACTGTAATTTCCCATCCTCCTGAGGATCTGCTTCTGCTTAGGCTCAAACCAGCTCCAGTTCTCCCCGGGCTGTAGAGGCCCCAAATTTAACAGCTTTTTAGGTTTGACTGATGCCTTCAAAGGAGCCTGCCCTCAACCTGAGACCTCTGAAGGACCATTCTGGCAGGTCAAAGCACACCGATGTTGCTCATAAGCACTTATGGGTATCACATTAAGCCACAGTGGCCACAGCAACTTATTAAATACATCCAGAAGAGGTGGTGGTTGGGTTCTCCATCTCCCTCACCCTCCTACGTCCTGGCTGGGGCCTGGTACTCACCCAGGCTGTGGGAGATCTGGAGTGTCTCCCCCTTGGCCAAGAAGAACTGAAGCCCCATCTGGCACTTTCCAACAGATGGCTATGATCACCTGTGCCCTCGGGCTGGGGGTATTCTTCTCCCCTTACGTTCCCCCTTTTACTTGAGCTTAATAAATTCCTTTTAGAAAATTCACACATGTATTCAGTAAGGAAACAAAAGAAGGCAGGAGGAAGCTTGACCGTGGCACAAGGTTGCAATCAAATAAGTAACTCAGCCCTACTTTTTGTAATGAACTTATGATACCTTACATCACTGCTCTTTTTTTTTTTTTTTTTTACTGTTTGAGATGGTTGGTCACACCATTTCATATACTGAGGGCTGTTATGTCAGGTGCTTGTGTGATTACTATGCCCTGACATTTTCATCAATATATGTGCACGTATATTGCTTACTTGCACATATATCTTAAATATATGTTTTAAAATAGAACTTCTTTTCTTTGCACCCAGGAAAAACAATTTCTTAGCCCTTAGAGTGAATAACCAGTAGAGGCTGCAGAAGATGAAATAGAAAATGCAATTCATGTAATCCCATTGCTACACCAGTTCTCATCTGTTCATCTTACAAGCAAGATGGAGAATCCAGAACTTAGAAAAATAAATCCCGAAGCCCAGTGAAGCTGCAGCAGGGAGCACTGGAAGTGCTGTGGGAGTCCCTGCTGTCAGCAGGACACATTTGTGAAGGAGTTAACTGGGAAAACAGACCGGTTTTGTGAACGTGCGTGTGCCAGATCCCCTTTCATTCACTGCCAGCTCCGTGGGCTTCTCCCCCATCACCGATATCCCATCTCTGGTGCCCTTTCAAAGGAACCTCCCTGCGGTCTATTAAGCTTTCATCATTTTCATTTCATTCCGCCTGACCTCGCTCACCTCCTCCCCTTACCACGGGAGATACTTGGGAGGAATAAAAAAAGAAAAAAGGAAAAGAAAAAGAAGAGGAGAGAGCCGGGTCTAGTCCTACCGCCTAACCTTCAAATTGTCAACATTGCACACCTAAACTCTGGGTTTTTAACTGCTCTGCTTACGGGTTTGCAAAATTCCATTTTCCTGAGCAGAAGTCTACATCCAGTGACATTTGTGTAAAGGTCAGCCAAAAGCAGCAGCCACCTCAGCCCTGTCCTGCTTGGAATTTTGATGCTGCAACCTTCCCAGGGACCAGGGGAAGGGAGAGAAACGGACAGGGGACCAGCGTATGCATAAAAAAGGACTTACACAGCGTTCAGAAATATGCAGTATGGTAGATAATCTAAACAAAAAATAGTGACTGGTTAAGGCTGATGTCTTTTTGTTACCTATATTACCTATTTCAGACTTCTTCAGGGTTTTTTTTAAAAAGCACCTTGAAGTAAACAAACTTAAGTATATATATATACACAAGAGATCAAGGTATTTATATTTATATTTTTTATATATTAAAAATATTTAAATGTATATTTTATATAAAAATATATTTTTTATATATATGTATGTATATATATGAGATGATCAAGGTAAAAATAAGCAGGATGGTGAATATTTCCTAGCCCCCTGAAGTACCTCTCAGTTTTCCTACAAGTCCGCAATGAAACCATTCATCATTTATAAAAATAAATGACAATATTTCACCAGTTGTGGAAGAAGCCATGCATGGACTTGTCTGGACACTGGGAAGTAAGTGCCTATTACAACTATTTATTAGAAAACAGACTCTCCCTGCATTGACAGAGAGTATTTTCTTGCACGGGCCTGCCCTGTGTGCAAAGAATATTAAAAACTCCAAAACATGGATCTTGGTTGGGGGCATAAAGCAAAAGGGAGGACGAGATTTCAAACGTGGGTCCAAGAACAGGGAGCACAAGGAATGTTCTGGGCACATTTCTGGACAATAACTGAGACACACTCTCATTAGGCAGCGAAAGGGACAGATGGGAGTATCTCTAAATAAATGAGTTCCTCCAGCAGCAGGGAAAGCAATCGGGTAGCTGAAATCAGTAAACTTTGGAAACAAAGACAAATTTCAGGCTTATAAATGTTTACCTGTAGCACTCCACGTTCAGAAGCACATGCCACAAATGAGGATATTTTAACAATGTAAAAGAAAAGGGTCTGAGATGTGCCACGTCTATGGACCTAGAGATGAACAGACCTTCGAGGTACCCTGGCAGCCCCACAGGGAGCATTAGACTCTCTCTGCAATTTCTCTGTAAACCGTGTGGTTCACGCAGAGGAGGAGTCCCACATCATCAAATAAACCCAAAGCTCTTCCATCAATTCTGACACCCTTGTAGGGGTCTTTTCATGCACACCAGCACAGACTCATCAATTGCTAAGACTGAAAGGGAGCAGTTACCATTTGGTCTGGCCTTTGCCTTTAACTCTGATTTTAGACCTCCATCCGCTGAGTCTCGGGTAAAGTCCTGGGATTTAAACTACCACCACCAAGACTTGAAGTCTTTGACGATGGAGAATCAACCAGAGGAAAGCCCTGTCTTTTAAGAGCTCTTTATCCTGAAAAAAATACTGTTTGAGATGGTTGGTCACACCATTTCATATACTGAGGGCTGTTATGTCAGGTGCTTGTGTGATTACTATGCCCTGACATTTTCATCAATATATGTGCACGTATATTGCTTACTTGCACATATATCTTAAATATATGTTTTAAAATAGAACTTCTTTTCTTTGCACCCAGGAAAAACAATTTCTTAGCCCTTAGAGTGAATAACCAGTAGAGGCTGCAGAAGATGAAATAGAAAATGCAATTCATGTAATCCCATTGCTACACCAGTTCTCATCTGTTCATCTTACAAGCAAGATGGAGAATCCAGAACTTAGAAAAATAAATCCCGAAGCCCAGTGAAGCTGCAGCAGGGAGCACTGGAAGTGCTGTGGGAGTCCCTGCTGTCAGCAGGACACATTTGTGAAGGAGTTAACTGGGAAAACAGACCGGTTTTGTGAACGTGCGTGTGCCAGATCCCCTTTCATTCACTGCCAGCTCCGTGGGCTTCTCCCCCATCACCGATATCCCATCTCTGGTGCCCTTTCAAAGGAACCTCCCTGCGGTCTATTAAGCTTTCATCATTTTCATTTCATTCCGCCTGACCTCGCTCACCTCCTCCCCTTACCACGGGAGATACTTGGGAGGAATAAAAAAAGAAAAAAGGAAAAGAGAAAGAAGAGGAGAGAGCCGGGTCTAGTCCTACCGCCTAACCTTCAAATTGTCAACATTGCACACCTAAACTCTGGGTTTTTAACTGCTCTGCTTACGGGTTTGCAAAATTCCATTTTCCTGAGCAGAAGTCTACATCCAGTGACATTTGTGTAAAGGTCAGCCAAAAGCAGCAGCCACCTCAGCCCTGTCCTGCTTGGAATTTTGATGCTGCAACCTTCCCAGGGACCAGGGGAAGGGAGAGAAACGGACAGGGGACCAGCGTATGCATAAAAAAGGACTTACACAGCGTTCAGAAATATGCAGTATGGTAGATAATCTAAACAAAAAATAGTGACTGGTTAAGGCTGATGTCTTTTTGTTACCTATATTACCTATTTCAGACTTCTTCAGGGTTTTTTTTAAAAAGCACCTTGAAGTAAACAAACTTAAGTATATATATATACACAAGAGATCAAGGTATTTATATTTATATTTTTTATATATAAAAAATATTTAAATGTATATTTTATATAAAAATATATTTTTTATATATATGTATGTATATATATGAGATGATCAAGGTAAAAATAAGCAGGATGGTGAATATTTCCTAGCCCCCTGAAGTACCTCTCAGTTTTCCTACAAGTCCGCAATGAAACCATTCATCATTTATAAAAATAAATGACAATATTTCACCAGTTGTGGAAGAAGCCATGCATGGACTTGTCTGGACACTGGGAAGTAAGTGCCTATTACAACTATTTATTAGAAAACAGACTCTCCCTGCATTGACAGAGAGTATTTTCTTGCACGGGCCTGCCCTGTGTGCAAAGAATATTAAAAACTCCAAAACATGGATCTTGGTTGGGGGCATAAAGCAAAAGGGAGGACGAGATTTCAAACGTGGGTCCAAGAACAGGGAGCACAAGGAATGTTCTGGGCACATTTCTGGACAATAACTGAGACACACTCTCATTAGGCAGCGAAAGGGACAGATGGGAGTATCTCTAAATAAATCTGATTAAGATCTGGAGGCCAAATGTAATACTGGGAGAACATTAAAGCGCTATGGACTTTATTCTGCTTACTTTTCAATTTGATACTGGCACAGCTTTAGAGATCCAGCTTTGATTAACACTCCTAAAAATGCCAGGGGGGGGAGGAGAGAAATCAAGCCCTCTAGTTGATATTAATACCAGGCAGTCTATCCATAGCAGGGCCACATCTACTGCACTGACCGAAACCCCACCTCCCCTTAGAAAGAGTCACACAATCTGAGTTTTTCTACATTTTCAGCTGATAATAATAATGACCTCAGCAGAGGTCATTAATCATCAACTGCAGTTAATGGCCCTCAGCTGCATCTTGAGCCATCCCGACTCCTCCCAGCTTGATGTTAATTCCCAGGAAACGCCTTATGCCTTAATTGCTATTGCCCGTGACTTCTAATATCTGCTGAATGTACTTATCTGGATAAAAGTCTTTCAGAGTCTTTCCAATCCATAAGAAAATATATCATACGCATTTTAAAGACCTAAGCAAATTCTCTCCCTTTAAAGTTTTGTGGATAAATTATTCAAGACTCATAAGCCTCTCAATTCAGGACTTTTAAAGGGCTTTTAGGATTCAGTATTTTTAAGATGCTTTTAGAAAATAAGTCTTTAAACTTTCAGAAAACTTTGAAAACTCTTGAAAAGAAAATAAAGGAATATCTGAAGTTAAGCAGCAGTGTTGCTACTCTTAAATTTAAAGTCAAAATGCAGAAAGACATGAGTGAAGCATTTATTTCTGGAATTTTGGCACGTCTTTGTATGTCTCTGTGAGACCCAACTGGCTCTGGCCAATGTGAGTAGCCTTGACCAATCCTGCAGAAGTTCTTACTTCTCCATGGTGGGCTCCATCTCGTCATTCCTTTGCCCAACTGGGCACCTTCCCCCCATTCTTTCCCGTCACCTTACGGCAGCTCCCATCACCCGTCGTTCACCACTTCCAGCAGTTTCTAGAGTTCTTTTTTTTAATTAACAAAATTAGCACAAAGTAGGAACATGCTAATTAAAACTGCTGATTATTCAAGCTTGATTGTTATCGTTTAGGACAGCCAATGCCGAGGACAAAGACAAACAGAGCACCATCCCAGGCAGAAAGGAGCGCTGGAGTAAGGGAGCCCAGCTGAAAGCCTGGGAGTACAAGGGTCCAGCTTGGCCCCCCTGGACTGAAAACTATTTCTAGTGGTAAATGGGAGCTCACCTGGGAACCCAGATCCTGCAAGTCACCCCCTAAAAGCCATCAGTGAAATGCAGCCATAAGGAGGCAGCCAAAATACTGGATGTATATGGAAAAGCATTTCCAGCAAAGCAAGGGAAGTATTAGGAGCATTACATAGAGCTCATTACAGCTCATCAAAAATGCAGGTTTTGTTGCCTGTACCCCAGCTAGATAAAGGGAATAAATTCAGATAAAGGCTACAGGGAAAGAACAACTTACTGAATAAGACATGAAACCGCTTGGCTTATTTAGCAAAACAAAGCAAAGCTTGAGAGGAGATGGGACAATCATCAGGACGACGGGACGATAACCAGAACTCTGCAGAATAAAGACTAGAAGATTGTGTTGGTGTAAAACAAGGGGAAACAATTGGCATAAA